TTAAACGCTGTTTAACGACATGGCAACGCGTCATTCGCCATGAAAAATGAAGGTTATTTTTCTGTGACTTAGGATGCTCAACAAGCCTTGGAACTTTGCACAGGTGTCATAGGTGTAATGTTACGATGGAAATAAATATTTCATATTTTCAAATTTGGTAGGCACATGTATCACATGAAGACTTAAAAAAAAGTGTCTTGGGACCATGCTCTAAAATTAACGGGAAGTCGGCTAGTTTGATTTTTGTGTGAATTTTCCCATGACTTCTAGTCGCTATACTTTAACGAACTCCTCCTAGGGACGTTGTCAGATCCTTTTCAAATTTGGTCAGTATAATCTAAAGACCTTTGCTATTAAAAGTTACTCAAAGCTTTACGTTTGATGGAATGGCGTAGCCGTGGCGTGACGGCCATTTTACGTAATTCGCCGTTAAACAACAACCCGGATGTAACTCCACAAAACGCAGCCCGGCACTACGTTTGACCTACATGTATGAAATTTGGTAGGAACATGTATCACATGAAGACTTAAAAAAAAGTGTCTTGGGACCATGCTCTAAAATGAACAGGAAGTCGGCCATTTTGATTTTTGTGTGAATATTCCCATGATTTCTAGTCGCTATACTTTAACGAACTCCTCCTAGAGACTTTGTCAGATCCTTTTCAAATTTGGTCAGTATAATCTAAAGACCTTTGCTATTAAAAGTTACTCAAAGCTTTACGTTTGATAGAATGGCGTAGCCGTGACGTGGCGGCCATTGTAGGTGATTCGCTATTAAACAACAAGCTGATGTAACTCCACTGGACTTGCTCAAATGTGTCCCAAACTTGCCATATTTGATAACAGTCATGGCCTGAGGATGTCTACAAGCCAATTTTCACTCAAAGTCATAGCGCCACCTACTGGCAACAGGAAGACAGCGTTATGTGACAAACTGAATCCGATTTATATGACATTTACATGATGTGGTCTATACTTGATGTAGAGCAACACAATGTATGTTTGCACATGTTCTCTAGCGCCACAAAGTGGATACAGGAACTGGTGGAATATTTGCACTACATAATTTCCAGCGTCACACAGTCCAAGCATTAAAAATATGTCTAACTTGTGGGCACGCTGTCTGATGGTCGCAGATATTTATGGCCGCTTCTGCCGGCGTCCCGCCAGTACCCCCGAGACGCGGGAAGGTGCGAGCGCCCATTCATCGCTGCTCGCAGCTTTAATTTCTTATTGAACCTCTCTGTCTGCCCATTTTAACCGAACAGTGGATGAACTGACAGTCTAACTATTGTGAACAAAGAGGGCTCCATAGGATATTGTGGAACAGGACAAAATAGCTCTAATGGTTGCGGACTGTACTGATACAAGGTGTTCCAATGTAATAGTCTTTAGAAGATGGAACATCTTAAGCCATCTCCCAACCCATTGTGAGAAAAATAATGACTTGAAAGAAAAAGTCGTACAAGAAAGACACAAATCTTAACAATGCACACAAAATATGTGCTGTGCCCAAATGTACTCTGGACTGTAACTACTCTAAATCCAGTGTATATTCTCATATACAAGTATATGATGTGTGGATTCCCTTTGTGTGTAATTTCACAGGCTTCTGGTACATTACTTTCTACTTGGGTGGCTCATTGTGGAGAGAAAACATTGCACATTATAGGAAAAAAAGGCCTGAAGACAGTGAGACTTTAACAATAGGCCTGTACATAGACTGTTTATGTCTACAGAAATTAGAAAATGTGTAAGACACATTTTGCTTCTGTGTTTTCATGCAATCACACACGTAAAAGGATTATTCTTGTAATCAGTGTGCACATAATCAGAAGCAACCATACGGCAAACACCAGCTCTGCAATCACGTATCATAGTTATAATGTATATTGCTTTTATCTTTCTTTCCAGAGGTATTTTTTGGTGGGGACCAATCAGGCACAGACCAAACACAGAGTCCTGAAGATTGACCGCACAGAACCTAAGGACCTGGTCATTATTGATGATAAGGTAAGCGCTGACTTTCCACCAGAGTTGGTACAGTGCTAATGTATATTCTTATGTAATACAGTACAGCATGCTCGGATACAATTGTACAATCACTCAGCAATGTCCCAAGTGTATTATGGGTGACAGCTTAGCTGTGGAGTGCTGCGCGCGCCTCCCTTTTCTTCTCCGCTGCTCATTACCAGGATCTGGTACTGCAGATGCAAATTAGCTTAAGCTACAATCTGGTACAGTGCATCGAATGGAGACATTTATGTTTAAACTGTACATGGTCCCTTTTAGAAAGAAAAGAAAAAAAAAAAAAATCTATGAGCTTGGATTTCATTTTTTTGTGTTGTGGGTGATTATGATGTTTGTTATTATGTTGCATCCATGACTAAATATCCATCCCCCCACGCTCTCATTCCTGCAGATATTATACTGACTGCATTTTGCAGAAGAACTGCATTTAATTCCACCAAAAATCAAAAAACAAATACTGTAGAGATCTGTTTTCATACTGTAGCAGCTTAGTGCGTTTCTGACTTTTTTCTGTTGCACCTTTAGTGCAGAATTGAAGTTGTGAAATCTATGATATTGATGAAGAAGGTTCCGGTGAAGATAACTTGCATGCAAAGGTTGTTGGTCGGTTTGCATTTCTTTCAAAGCTTCTGTTAATTCATTACAATTATTCTCTTAATTTCCTCATTGAGGATCTTTAACCCTTTTGTAGAAAAAGGCTATTGATTAAACAAGGCCTGCATTCATTTGCATATTATTGCACAGAAACTCTATATAAGTCTCACTGGCTCTGAATTAAGTAGTCAATAATTAGCCCCCCCATAAGCAGCCCCTTTTCTTTTGAGAAAGAAATACATCATACACTGTTTTCTTCTTTTATTGCAAGGTAAAATGAACAGTTTGGAGATTCTGTACATAAATAAACAGCTTCTCACAGCTTTATTCATTTATATCTGTGTGTATTTGTCTGTAGCATGTGTACAACCAGCAAGAGGTCCGGGAGTTGCTGGGCCGCCTGGACCTGGGAAACCGCACCAAGATTGGCCAGAAGGGTTCCTCGGGCCTGTCCAGGGCTCTCTCAGCCTTTGGCATTGTGGGTAAGTAGAGTCCCTCCACTCTCTTCTTCACTGGCGTAGCAACAACCATTGTGGGGAGCGTGTAACTCATTGGTTCTACAGCTGTATATATTGACCTGGTTTTGCATATTACAGTAAGTGCATCGAGATGGAAAAACATCAAATAAAAGGAACACCTGGGAGTACATTGTAATAAAGTACAATACAGCCCCGCTAGCCCTGCAACTACCTTTGTGGAGCTTTTAATGTTACATTTTCAGGTTTCAAATCATGACCATCTGGTGTAATCAGATGCAAAAATAAGCTTCTTTTTTTTTTACATTTCTAATAATTTCCCATTCTTTTTGTCCAAAATCAGCAAAAAAATACATCGTAACAATATTGTTTGGGATAGTTTTCTTTAACTATAATACTATAATAGTGCCTATTAGAACTATTTTGTATTTTTTGTATTTTTCTGTTGATCAGTGTCAAAAAGCCTTCCTATTTAAAGGGGGCTGACACTATATTATTTAATATACAAACTACATTGTACTAAAAACTTATCTCAGCCCACAACACTTTTTAATTTCAACACTTCTATTAGTGGTGAAAAAAACGAGCAGGGAATATTATTAAAACTGCCAATAAATAATGATTTACTGTCTGGGAATTGGCAAACCGTTGAATCCCAGTGTATGAATCATTCTTGATTCATGTTGAGAGGAAGAATAGCTCATATCGTGTGTATCTGTGCGTTGGACATTGGCCTGCAGACCTAATTACAAAATAATAAAATAATGCTGACTCTTCTCTGGCCTTTAGTTAACCTAAGACTAATGTTGCACGGTGTATCGATACTAAAAAGGTACCGCGGTACCCGTACGTTAAAAACGATACGATTTTGCATATTTTTAGTATCGATACTTCATTAAAATAGCGCGCGATCAGAGCGCACTCACTCGCATTGACTGCAAGGGGGCAGGGCTGCCCAGCGCTCACACGCGCAACAGGCAGCGCTCACTCACAGCGAGTGATCGCAGGGGAGACATGGCATCAAGTTCAGGAGCTTTTGCCGACCGTCCTCGGCTTGTTGGGAAAAAAAGATGCCAGAAGTGAAATCTGGAAGTACTTTGGCTACATTGCAGACAGTGAAGGAAAGCCCACTGACATACAGAGACCCGTCTGCAAAACTTGTTTCAAAGCCACACAGACCAAGGGAGGCAACACGTCAAACGTGGCAAAGCACCTTTCAGACAGACACCCCGAACTTTTCAAAGCAAATGTAATTATAAACATGGACACCCCCAAGCTCACCCATATACAGCCTAACAGGAGTAGCCTTAGCCTAGTTTGAAGACAAGCCTATATGATCATGAGGTCACAATGCACACAAAAGTGTACTAAATGAAACACAATTGATGCAAAATGGCTACATGCTGGTGGAGTCTGAGGGTGGATCTTGAGCTAATTCTTTTTATTTGTAGTTAAGGAAAAATGATTATTCCATGAATTAAGATAAAATATGAAGTGAAAATATCAAAGTCACTATGCAAGTAAATTAAGCATTGTTTATCCACCCACTCCCACAGACAGTCAAAGTTTGAAAGCCAGCGGAAATATGAAAGAGAGAGGCTCAAAAGATGCGAAGAGGTTAAACATTAATATTAATGCCATTTGTTGAGTGTTCAAAAAGCTGAGCAGGAACAAGCTGGTAAAAAAGGGAACCATACAGATGTTTTATTTATTACTATTATAGATAAATATACCAGTATCGTATCGTATTTGTGGTATTGTATCGAATTCTGCTATCGTAAGTATCGGGTATCGTATCGAAGTCATAATTTTGGTATCGTGACAACCCTACCTAAGACATGGAAACACAGGTCACTCAAATTTTTTTCAGGTCAACTTGTTCTGTCGGCCTGCCCCATAAATCCAATCCAAGGTGTTGTGTTACATGAGAAGTTTGTGATACTGATCATCACACTTTGTATGTCCTCCGCCGGCGTTTGCACTCCAGTGGCTGCGCGGAAAGTAATTGCTGTGCCTGAACTGTGAGTTTCATGTATGCCCTGCATGACCAGTCCTCAAGTCATGACCTACATTTCATGTAACACACATTCTAATACACACAACAGAGGAGTGTTTGAATTTGTCCTCATAACTTGTCTCGGGGATTTAATCAGGACCCGTCATTATCGAGCCTTGATCATTCCCCAGTAATGTCTGTTTTTCTGTACTCTGGACAGGTCAATGATCGTAGATAATTTGTTTGTCATAGAAACGTTCATTTGTAAGAAAACAATTGCAGACACTTTGGAGTTCTGCATTTCTACAATACATGGTTAAATCATGACAATACGGTCTTTTCTCTTCTTTTAATACATTTTTGCACTTCTCCCCAAATAAGAATCCAATTTAAAACTACTAATGAACCAGGATCAAATGAAACCAAACCATAACCTCAACAAACCAACATTCTTTCAAACATGCTACTGCCTCAATCTCCTAAAATTACGCTGATTAAAAGACAGACTTGATGAGCTTTTGCAAAGGGGCTCTAAACTTTCACTTCTAACCGTCATGTCTCGGTAATACCAGCACGACCAAAACAAGATTAAAAAAGCTAATAATTAAAACAAAAATTACAAGATTACAAGTCTACAGCCATGCTAGCAGCTCTGTGAAGCTGCACTTAGACACAGTTCGGTTTGGGAGTAGATGCTAACTTTAACATGCTAACAAAGTCACAACACCAAAGCTAACATGCTAATGTTATGTTAGTTCAATGTTAAAACCATAAATATCAAATATAGTGGCGACTAGGGAGAAGTCAGGGTCTGTCTAAAATCAGTGGGGTTCTTCCTCTGCAGAGCATGAATGTAAAGAACATCATTTCAAATGGGAATTTATCCACTGCACCAAATTGGTTGACCGACTGACTAACTAACTCAACCATTGATCCATGCTACTAGTGTGGCTAAAAATACATCACAATTGCAACAGTCCTACTGTACATTCTACTTTCCAGTTCATCCAGTGTGTGTTTGTGTGTGGGGCTGTTACATTTCCATTTCTGGCAAAGAAAGGTGCTGGCAACTGTTAACTAATACTGGCAAGGCCCTTCCAGGCCACAATTGCAACACATCCAAGCTAATAGTCCTGCATCATCACTGAACTTGCAGATAGGGTCGGTCACACTGACACAAACAGATTATGACTTTGACATCTACTTGAATAAATAAGATGCTTTTTACCGCTGTTCCTACCGCTGAGCCACGATTTGCCAATTTCACTGTGTCATGTGGAATAAAAGAGTGTGTCGGCCATGTTGGGTTCAGTCTATCCAGAGAGACCCTTTGACTGGTGCCTTTTTAGTACTGTATATAATGACTACCATTGGTGTAAGTAGAATTGTAATCTCTTTCATTTGCCTGTTTTGTCAGTCTGACCCATCGCTACCAGAAAGCAACACAATGAACTAACTTAGGAATTGTCATTCTGCAAAACCCAGAGTGAAAGAACATTAAGTTTGCTCTCATTCAAGACATAGCTTGCAAGCTTAGTTGATTGTCATTGTGCTGTGAAAAATCCTCCTTAGTCTAGTGGTGCCTGCAAAGGAGGAATCCTTTTCACATTTGGATTGACTAATACTGAGGTTATTTAACAGATGTGTCAATGAAGTCAGAAAAGCATAAAGCAAAATGTTATAAGCCACACTAGGTGTTTTTTTTTAGAGAATTCAGCATGCTACTTTTCATTGTTCCCTATAAACTGCATGTTTTTTTCATAATTAAAACCATCATCAAAAAAGAAGTGTCGTCCTATATTTAATAAAAGTAGGACCATGCTACATTAGCCACTACTAGCATAACATACCAAGCTGTCTTCGACCCAACTGTTGTGGTTCAAGTTGCATTGTGGGTAACAAAGATGCCAGGTTCTGACAAGGAAGAAGAATAAAAGGAATTCTTCTGGTTCTTCTGCGTTGATTTTGATCCTTTGTTGAAACAGTCCATCGTGACTCTGTCAATGTTATATGAGTGCGATGCTAATTCAGTGTTCCAATAATTATAGAAAACCCAACATGAACCTCATTACAGCACAATGACACTGGAGCATCTGTGATTCTAAATAGTCTGAATGTACAAGCACTTATTCAGGTGCAAAATTGCATCTGTGGCACACAATTCATCCGCGAAGAGATTAGTCTTAGCAGTGATATAATGAAGCTGTGTCGCACAGCATGCACACTTAAACTACTGAACTTAATGGGGCATGATAACAGACCATTATAAAAAGCTATAATCACAGCCATTTATTATGTTTTGAATGTCAACAATAAGATAATAGCTCATCAAAAGCAGAAAGTACATCAGCGGTTATGTCTGACTTACTTTCTGGGTCAGATTTTAAGTCTGTAAAACTACATGGTCTGTACGTAAGCTAGTGAAGTATGGCACACAAACTCTCTCCATCCACCTCCTCAAGGTTGTTGGTATTTTCAAGGCTGTTGCTGATTCGCAGGCAACAGAAAGGTTGACCTAGAATTCAGCTTGCTTAGAGGCTTTCTTTCTTTCTTTCTGAACTTCAGTATGTCAGGGTTATGTTGGGAACAATGCTCCTTGAAAGAAACATTTGACTAGTTTATTCTAAAAGATTTTCTTTTCCACAGGGTTTGTACGTTTCCTCGAAGGGTACTACATTGTGTTGATCACCAAGCGTAGAAAGATGGCCGACATCGGTGGCCACTCCATCTACAAAATTGAAGACACCAGCATGATCTACATCCCCAATGACTCGGTCAGGGTTACACACCCCGATGAAGCAAGGTACCGCCTCGTTTCCCCACCTATAGCGGTGCAGTTTAAGATCTTGTGAATGGTCAAATGTTTTCATTTATACACTATCACCAGTCATTTGTAGGCATAATCGCACTCTCCAAAGTCAAGAAATGGTATTTTGATGAACATTGCATTAAATAGAAATTCTGACAATGTCAGAACTTTTAGGAATCAGTTTGTAACACTTTTTAAGGGAAAAGCACAGTTGCTATTTGCAACATACAGTCATTTTCATGTCTTTGCAATTGTGCGCGCGCTCGCATTTGTTCTCAAACACACACCATAGTCTTCACAGACAAGGACATTGGTATTGAAGATAAGCTTCAGACCTGAAACCCTTTACTTTAATCTGATGTTTTAAGCACTACCTTTTCATTAAATCTTACAAGGATGGTCCCAGTAACGTTTCCTTAAGACTTTAATGCCATTACATTAACTTAAAGGCAGCAGCAGAAAAAGGTCAAATTTACAGAGAGATTTACGACACGTACAGTAAGTGTGCTCGTAACATTACTGCTTTTTAAGATCTCTAATTCGTGTATTATGTCAATCTTCACAAATGTCCTGAAAGTTTGTTGCCGGATAGACTATTAATATTAAAGCTTAATGACTTTTTAATAAAATCCTCCTAGATATGTGCGGATCTTTCAGAACGTGGACTTATCCAGCAACTTTTACTTCAGGTAAGGCAAATCAAGATACCTCTTTTTGGTCACATCGTGTCTGACATGAAATACACTTGATGTTTCCAATTGTAGTTTGGCCAAATCTTGAATTCATCATGGGACAGTACGGGCTCTGTTTGTTTCACATGATCTTTCCTTTGTACCTTGCAGCTACAGCTATGACCTGAGCCATTCGCTGCAGTACAACCTGACTTTACTGCAGAGGCCTTTTGAACTGTGGTCGTCACCAACTTCCTCCACTGAGGAAGAGGTACAAAAACAGAGCAAGCATGACAGCTTTGACATCTTTGAAGATGAGGGTCTTCCTACGCAGGGTGAGAGCCTAATACAGTCCTTGTATACATTGTGTTTGTTCTATTGGCTGGAGGAGGCTTCACGTTGACTGTTTAACGCTTCCTCTGAACAGAAGCTGTCAGTCCTGCTGTGTGCTTAGTTCCGTTAGCTGTTAGCTCTGTTAGCCAAACACCTCTTTAGGACTCTGACAGCTCTGCTAACGGCTTAAAAGGTCTCCTACCGAGATGAGCACACGCACTCCGTTGAAGTCAAGCGATTGGTTCAATTTGTCATTCGCTAAGCAATAGTGGGAATCGAGAATGGGCTGCACACCCTGCTTATTGGCAGGGAGTTACACTCTCAAGTGGGGTCCAAATGCTCTTTGCTGATGCCTAGAAAAGTCCCAAACACAGCAAAATAGAAGAAAAGAGGAAATACAGGCAGAGGGCAAGGTCTCTGCAGATACAGACACCACCACTCACTTCTAGTGGGTCATTAGAACTGCAGGGATTGAGAGGGATAACTTTTGTATATATTGCTGTTAAGATATGAGATGACCTATATTGTGATAAATATTTGGCCATATAGCGCAGCCCTACCATTCATGCCCATAAAAAAAATGGAAAAACTGATATCTGCCACAGTCAAAGGTGTCAATCATCCATTATACTGCAGGTTTGCCTGTTTTGTCCAATAAAATATATTTAAAAATTAACTTTACTTTACCTTGGCTGATGTGTTCAGTTATTTTTGGCATGTTTATTGTAATTCAATAACATAAGCTCTTGTTCCACATCCTGCATCACCACAGTTTTCTTGTCCGTTTGTTGCTTTCTAACTGATTATTTGATCTGACCCCATTTTAGTAAAATGATCCGACGGTTTTATGTGTTCCCACTCTTCCGCCACAGTGGTTTACGGCCTCCAGAATGAGCCGTACTCCAAGTACGTGTGGAACGGGAAGCTGCTGGAACGAGTCAAGGACATAGTGCATCATGACTGGCTCATGTATATAATCCACGGCTTCTGTGGCCAGTCCAGTATCCTTTGAGAGTTGTCAAATCAGTTCCGTTCATGCATTGCAGAATTGTTTGGCTGTTGCTTTTATTAATTGATCCACTTGTTGCTTTTGGATTTAAAAAGAATGTCCCATACAAGCTGTGTAGTACCTTGTTGGGACATAACATCTGTCAGCATTGACTGATTTGTGATTACACACTAGCACAGTAGATGATACGTTATCTCTCCGAATGTTGTTCTTTGTCTGCACTCCCTCTCATCTCTCAGCTTCAGCATCACTTGTTGAACTGCGCTCGGCATCCATTGCAGCACGTGGAATGCACTGTGAGCGAGAGGGTGTGATTCACCAGTAAACTGCAGAAGCGATTCGTGTTTGTTTTAGGGCTTGAGCAAAAATGTATGGCAATCAAGCAATGGTTAAAAGGTATGTGAACACACTGGCGCTTGCATAATCACTCCATCTGTTATCTACAGGGAGAAGGCAGCAACATCGTTAATTATTTATGCCGCATGGCTTTTCTTTTTGAAGACAAATCCTATATTTTTTACATGTATACGTACATCTTCCTTTATGTTTGTTTGAATCCTTTTTTCGTCTTTAATTTCACTGCTACTGTAACTTTTTCTTAGTTTGTAGTTTTGACACAAGCTGCATACCAGGGATTAGCGTTAGACTCCACATGATTAATTTCCTCTGGGTTTTTTGAGAAGCTTTTGTAGTATTGATGCATGGGTAACTGCTGCGGAGTGGCTTAGGGCTAGAACTGAGTAAACAGTTTGATTTATTCGGGTAAAAGTCTGCCTTAGGTTCAGGTTTCCATCATTTCCCATCAATTCTCCTTTGCATGAATCGCATCATGCAGTGTAATTCATTTTGCCTTTCAGTCAAAACAAGTTACTCTTTTTCATCGGTAATTTATTTTCAATGAATTTATTATGATTTTGTGTTTTTTTAGTTGCAGTAGGCCTATAAACTAATCATCTACGGTGCACTTTACGGTCAGTGCTGCTATCAACACTGTTCTCACTCTTATCAGACACCGTGTTGCCAAGGAAACAATGTGTGAGCTCTTTGAGTTTAAACAATTCCTGAAACAGTTTGGCTTTCATTGCAGGTTTCTTTTTATCTGAGAGCATGAGAGGACGGATGGGTGCAATAAGAGACTCAACAGATGGAGTAAATGGAGAAATTCTGAGCATCGGGAGACACTGAAGCAGGCGGGAAATAAAAAAGGAAAGATTTGAAAACAAAAAGCAATAAGGGGGAAAGGTGGGACATTGCCAACGTGTAGAAACAGACTTCTCGAAAGTGGTTCGTCTAGGATGATGATATTAATAATATTGATAATATTTTCAATAGTGCATATGTTAAGTTTCTACTGATTTAAGATGCAAAATACATAATAATTTGTGAATGAGGCCCAATACAAGAGGTGGAAACTAAAACTACACTAAAGATACATTGATGTAAGTGTGTGTGATTGTGTGTTGTTGTCAGTGGTTATTATTCCTCCTCCTTAACCCACCAACTACAGAGCTTCTGATCTACGGCCGACCGGTTCACGTCACCCTCATTGCCAGGCGCTCCAGCAAATTTGCCGGGACCCGCTTCCTCAAAAGAGGAGCCAACTGCGAGGTACAGCTGTTGCCGAGGCAACGGGAAAAAAAATAGATAGCGGAGGCAAGGCTGGGGGGCCACCGGGATGATTGAGATGACTCACTGGGGGGGTTAATGTGACCCGCTGCCTCCTCCTACATTATGCATGAGTGTCTGTGGGGTGTGTGGGTGGGAGGTGGGAGAAACGTAGGAGCAAACATAGATGATCCTGCAATCCTGAGATCAGGTTGGACACAATTTACACAGTTACCTGCTGTTGTGGTCGTAAAAAGTAAAGTAGCTTTTATACAAAATTGGAATTTCGCTTCATCGTAGCATACTGTGTGATTGGCCTTTATCACGAGAGACTGTTTGACTTGTCACAGCAGGATAAGCACAGGTGTTAATATGAATTAATATAATTATTGTTTTATTGTTAATGGATTCGTTCCATTTAGGTCAGTACGTCATGTCATGTCTGAGTGCTTTATTAAAGTATTTTTCGTGTTGACCTTGATCACGTTGATCTGCTGGTGAACATGTGATCCTGAACAGCAACTGTTTCTGTTTCCATTATTTTCTATCGCCACCTCTAACCGGTGTTTGCTTATAAGCTGAAGTTCATTATTGTCCTTGAAAGAAGCAGTTAAGTACAATAGCGGTCAAGCTTTCGATTGTATCACTTGATCTTCAAACGATCAGGATTCAGATTGCCAATTCACCATTAAAAGAAAGTTTCTTGAACTGCTCAACAATTGGAAATCTAAGCATCTACAAAGCTTAGAGAATTTAGCAAGTCCCATCTTCTGATGAGGATCGAGTGATGTGATGGAAAGCTCCAGAACAGCTACGAAATGTACCTTTTTGGTGAGCTTGTCTTCTCAACCTTTGTGTTTTTCTATTATTTCCAGGGGGATGTGGCCAATGAGGTTGAGACAGAGCAGATCATCAATGACGCCTCAGTGATGTCTCTCACAGCAGGAAGTTACTCCTCATACGTCCAGGTGCGAGGTTCAGTCCCGCTCTACTGGTCCCAGGACATTTCCACCATGATGCCGAAACCCCCAATACGATGTAAGACTGCTGATGAACACTGGTTTTCTTACTTTGCACATCAACCGCTTCCTTGTTCTCCAGTATCAGAATATGGTATTACAGTGACTTTCAAAAGGAATCAATCCCCCTTGGTGTTTTCCTATTTTGTTCCATTACAACCTGGAATAAAAATTTCATTTGGATTTTTTGTGATGGACCTCCACAAAATAGTCAAAATTGCAAAAGCAAAATGAAAAAAAAAAAACTTCATAACTATCTGAATATAGTCCACCTGTGTGCAATATTAGTGTCACATGATCTAACGGAGAACCATTAAATCCGTTATTACAAAATGGAAAGAATATGGCACCACAACAAACCTGCCATGTCTCCCACATGCCTTTTTGGTGACTCCAGTTTTTAAATAGACGTTCTTTTTTTCATTTCACTTTACCAATTTTGACTATTTGATGTCGGTCCATCACATGAAATCCAAATAAAAAACATTTAAATTCCAGAATGAAATGCAACAAAATAGGAAAAACGCCAAGGGGGTGAACAATTGTGCACGGCACATTATATTATCTTCAAAAAAGTGTATCAAGGCTTGGATTGTAGATGGTCTTTTTACTGCTTAAGTTGCTCAACATCTGCTTTATCGTGGAAAAGGCAGAGATTTGGCAAAGCTTCCCAGGCTGTAATGGAAGATCTTTCTCATATCCACTTCGTCCTGATACATAAAGACAGATAACAAATTACGATATAAGTATATTCTCTTTTACAGTACCACAATAGTTATTTAACTATTTATGTTTATAATGCTCCATATATTCATTATAACAGCTGTCCAGGACCAGAAATAACTCGGTGGGGAGAGAGGAAGAATGTAATTGGAAAGACTGCATTCAAATAAGAGTGGCTTTGTACAAGGGCCATTCCTCACAGATAAAAAGAAAAAAGAATGAAATGGGTGAAGACAGGACACCCCCCCTCTTGGTTCCCATCTCTTGTCTCATTATGAGGAGGATAAAAACCCAAATCCAGGGCCAGAGGGAGCTGATCAGGTCCCTGAGACTGATGACATTGGAGACCGCTGTGTGTGTACGCAGGAAGATATTGTTGCTTGCATCTGTACAATGCCTGTAATGAATCATAATCTTTCCCCCTCCCAGTTTGCCCTTTAATTCATCCTCCGATGACATTTACTTCTGTGAGATAGAGACATTGAGCGTGTCCTTGAGATTCCTCTCTGTGTGACGTTCCTGCATCATCCTGCTCCTGCTTTGATCCTTAAAGACGGTCCTTATGTGACATTTCCCAAATGGTGCAATTGTAATTTCAGTTGGACTAGCGCCTGTCTGTGCTTCCTTAGTCTACCACCGCTTTGAGTTGTTGCGAAACTGAAATAAAGCCTCAACATTTCAAAACCAGGTGCAGAGAAAGTGAGTGTGACGCTGCAGAGACTGACCCCTGTTAGACAAATCTAGGTCAGTGAGGGACGTGTCTGTGAATATCGAGTCCTTATCACATTATGCATCGCCCGTTCCCTCGCCTCTGTCCTAACTGTCCAGACTCGTGGTTACATAAGGGTATATATGTATGTAAGGTCTTTATGATGGCTCTGAAGTGGACAAATGTCTCTATTGTAAGCAGTTATGTTGTTGACCTACTTCTACTCTTTCTTATTCTAGTGAGACATTTTGAGCTTGGAGAAACTGATTTTCAGAATTCCAAATTTTTCTCAGGGTTTCTTATACAACTAAACTCATTCTGTTGACACTTTCAGCAGAGACTTCCAGCTACGATCCAATTAAATATGACCCACTTCTTTTTACTGGTTGGTTTACAATTTGAGTGAAATCAATGAAATTTGTGCCTAGAGTTGAGCAGCCCGGAGTGTTTTTGTTGATACAAGAGCTTTAAGTTTACACAGTTGTGTGCTCTTGTTGTGTTCAATTATTTGTGTGTTTTCAAATGGAGAAAAACTGTTAGAATTCCCTAAACACTAAACAATGAGACTTCTCTTACAGTGGACCAAGCTGACCCATATGCCCACGTAGCTGCGCTCCATTTTGACCAGATGCTGCAGCGTTTTGGCTCTCCTATCATCATCCTCAACCTGGTCAAGGTAACGCATACACACACACACACCCTTTTTGAGGTCCTCATTTTGACTGTTACAAATGATACGTGCAGTATGACTCCACCTTTGAACAGATTTAACAGAAAATGATTCATTCAAGAAACACTGACATCACACTAAAAATGTAACTAAAAAGCATTTTTTTCGATCTCGATAGCATTTTACATTACAGCTAGGTAAAAGCACAATAATAGGGGACTAATAGTTTAATAATAAAGCAGCAATCATTTAGTAATGCCATGTAATTACCAAAGATATAATCAGGTATTGGATTGGTATTATCAATGGATATACCTTGGTAATATACTATAAGACTGAAATGTATGTACGTCTATGCACACAGATGCCTGCAAAGACAGGCGTGGCTTTCTCCAGCTTGTCCTTTCGCTTTATGTTCCTGTAAAATCAGTATTAATCATCCAACTGCTCTTAAATTATGAAAAACAATGAAATCCCAAGAAACGGTTATGGAGAAGCTTTGAACAGTATGACGATAATAAAATGCTTCAAGCCATTCCATGTTAAGAAAATACATCCCGGTGTGCAACACTGTTCTCCAGAGCTCTAGCAGTCATTTTTGCATTGCCTTTTTTCGCATACACACGCATGACAACCTTAGGCACACAGCCATACACTCCTTGGTTCCAAGCTCACGTTGTCGGTCCCAAGGGGAGCTGTAAGGCGAGGGACCAATCGCAGACCTCAGAGTTCCGCACAAGCCCCAGCCATGTGATATGTGCAGACTGTGGGGAGTAAGGGAGGGGACACCCTGCTTACACACCACAGCCCCGCTCTTATCACAGAGAGAGGGAGGATTTGGCAATCAACCATGAAACCATGATGGTCCATCGCTCCCCGGTGTGTCACACCGGGATGGGTGCATTGTTTTTTTTCATGGGTCGGTGCGTGTTTGTATGTTAAGAGAGGAAGAGAGCACATGGCCAAGCACGTGAACCACTTTTCCAACCAGCCAACTGAATTCGAGTCCATTTATTTTGACTGCCGGAGATAACTTTTACTAAAAGATGAGACAAGATAAACTCATCATTTTACTACACAAACCTATATATTAAAATAATAACGGTATTTCGCATTTCTATCCATAACCGTGCCAATGACCAGCCCCATCTTGTATGTACATGTGTGACTGTTTTGATTCATTTTATCGTTCATGGCACCTATAATCCTGATTGTTACTGTGAACAGCAGATGTGTGTTTTTGTAAGTATATGTGCACATGTAGCATATTTCTAGTCTCTCTTCCGTGTCTTGAATGTGTGAGTGGTTGTGCATCTGTGTGTGTATGTGTGTATGTGCCAGACTGTATTGACAAGCCCTTGCTGAAATGCATTCGTAATCTGACCGATTGCTGTGTAGCTTTGCCTCCGCTGGATGTGTGGATGGAGATGTGAGCTGCTAAATGATGCTTCCAAGCTCATTTTCATCAATCATAATATTTGTACATCATTTCTTTTACAACACTGTACACACACAACATACTGTATATGCCCAACTCTGCATGGATCCTTTAGATGGTTTCTCGCAGCTCTGCTTTTCTCCGAGACGACTGCGGAGAAGACCTGAATTGATCTCGCATGTCGGACTTTATGTGCTGGTGTCCTCATTGGACCGAATTTCCTAGCTCTGAGGGTTGGGGGAGTTAGTCCTACTTGTGATACATACATGTATTTCTCTCCGTTGTGCTACAGAAACGAGAGAAAAGGAAACATGAGAAGATTCTGAGTGAGGAGCTCTACCCAGCTGTGCTCAACCTAAATCAGTTCCTCCCTCCAGAGAACTGCATCGACTACATTGCCTGGGACATGGCCCGCTACACCAAGAGGTGGTGACCATGAATATGCCAAAGTAGTGAGCTTGAATTAGCTGAAAACCCAACTTGTTTGTGTTGTACTTTTCCCATATGTCACTAACTTGAAAGAATTTTTTTTAAATCCTTTGCTATGTCATTATTATCATCTGTAGAGGAAACTTATTTATTTTCCTGAATTTGGCCTTGTTTGGCTGTATGTTAATGCCTTGAAAAAATGAATGTTAATATGATCTTTCCATTTCTCTTAGTAAATTGTGCAACGTTCTGGACCGTCTGAGTATGATAGCAGAGAACGTGGTTAAGCGCACAGGTTTCTTCAGTAATCGCGCCGACTTCTACTGTCATACCATCAGACCAGATGACAGGTGAGCTTTTCTTTGACGCTGACACACACACACACACACACACACTTAGGAACAGCTTTGTTCAGTTAGGTGTTGTGTGTAAACACTCAAACTATTGCATTACACTTCCAAATGAAGCAAACCTTAAACTAAAATGACACTTTTTCAGAAACTGCTCATGACTAACATCTTCAGGCACTTTAGGGACTCTCTTATTTTTCACAAGAAAACAACTTAGATAATTAGAGGTCACATTGGGGTTGAAAAGAGAGAAGGTAGCAATGATATGAGAGAAAGTGTAAGAAGAAGGAACCATGTGCTCAGCCACGCCACCGTCTTTCCTGCATTTGCATCTCAGACTTATTTTTCTTAGGGAGGTGGTGTATCATCCATTTTCATACATATTCAGAATCATAAATTTATCGACACAGCTTCACTTTGAAACTCTCCAGATATGAATTATTAATGGTAATTATGCCTGCTGACAGTTTTGTCGCAGAGGGTTTGCTGCTAACGAGCTGAGTAGATTTCCGTCCATGTACTTAACTCATGGCTCTTCCATTGCTAGCATGTCTTAATCACTCTCACCCAACATTACCATTCTGTTACATAACCCAACGACCAAGCCATAGCAAGCACTTAGAACTCTTTCATTTGCCTTCCCCAATGCCATCTCGCATTCTTTGTTATACACACTCACACTCATGCACATACAGTATACTGTCGTATACACACAAACAAAACCCTCGTAAGCTTTCACATAGATGCATGCATGATGAATTAGCTCACAAATAATGAAGCTAATCAGAGATATTTATTTAGTTTATCTTGTTCTTATCACACCATTCTTGCTTTTAAGCATACATTTAGTGAGACACACACTCAATACTTCAACTATAATCACATATTGGTCTCAATCAGGTCACAATGTTCATGCCACAACGAGATGCACTTTGCTTTAAAACAGCTATTTGTCTTTAGAGCTCCCCCTCCAAACAATTTAAAGGGAGTATTTCCTCGCAGTTATTCTCACTCTCGCGTTGTATTTAGTATACAGACATGAGAGTGGTATCAAGCTTCACATCTAACTCTCAGCATGAAAGGGAATAATAACAATTTGAATTATTAGTTGTTAGTATCTGCACTGTATGTTTGTATTTAGTCCATTATGTTAAGCCTTGAAATGGCAATTATAACAGTGATCACACCTCTTGTAGGGGGAAAAGATGAGCAGAAGAGTAGAGTTGATATGTTATGCCTTTGTCTGGTTCCAGTAGTTCATTCTTTAAGTTGATTTAAATGTAATTTTTCAGGTGGCGAGATGTAGGTGGACACATCACAGCCAGTGGACGGGTGCAGGTATGTCACACATAAACAGGTTTCATGGAACTATTGTGTCACAATTCAAATATTCTCCCCCGAATTTGTGTTTCACTTGCAACTTTTGTACATAGGAAAATAAAACAACATAGTAGTGTTAACTAATGGAGAGTCTTTATCAATTGAGTTGTATAAGGTAACAATTAACCCACACATCAGTTCAGGGCAGGGAGATTTATAGGCCACGGAATCAGCTTTTCTCATAATATTTATTTAAAAGCAGCTCAGCATTCATTGCAAAACTAGGCCAATGCTATTAGTTGCATAATGAGTTTTTAATGGAAACCTTGACATACAGTGATCTTCTTAAAACGATTGAAGCTGTTAACTGCGATTTAATGGCAACCTTACCTTTCAGAAGGTAAATGCATGGAGATATGTTTGCTATTGATTCTCTACTAATAGACTTTCCAAGTAGTATGTGCGTGACTACATACATTAACATCCTGTATATTAATGAGGTGCCATCAGTAGGTGTCATGAGTCTTTGTTGTTGCAGACTGGTGTGTTGCGGACCAACTGCGTGGACTGTCTGGATCGGACCAACACTGCCCAGTTCATGGTGGGAAAGTGTGCGCTGGCCTATCAGCTTTATGCACTGGGAATGATTGACAAGCCCAAACTCCAGTTTGATACTGACTGTGTGAGGTAAGCATATATTTTGCTATAGCTGAATACGTTTTATTATTATTATTAAACACATTTGGTATATGTGTTTTTTGAACACAAGGAAAGATCATTGTCCATATTAATGTATGTTTTGTGTTGTACGTGTGTGTGTGTGTGTGTGTGTGTGTGTGTGTGTGTGTGTGTGTGTGTGTGTGAGACCCAGGTTGTTTGAGGAGCTGTATGAGGACCATGGAGACACTTTGTCGCTGCAGTACGGTGGCTCCCAGCTGGTCCACAGGGTCAAGACCTACCGCAAGATCGCTCCCTGGACACAACACTCTAAAGACATCATGCAGACGCTGTCGCGCTACTACAGCAACGCTTTCTCAGGTGCGTTTCTTACACACATGCACAAAAAATAATTATGAAGCAGCTCTATGATAATACAGGTCACTAATCTCAGCTCTGCTCAGTTTTTTAAGACTGATCGGTGCTAGTGTATTCCCACCTTTGATTGCCTGCGGCTTCTCTAAATAGTCTAGTTGTAACTTTGAAACGGGAAAAAGTAACCCAGCACATAACATGGAGCACTTTACATGACCTAAACACCACATCATACAAAATCATATTGTGTTACTGAATCACGACTTAGTACAAACCATTTTTCCCCCCAGCCATTGATGTAATACATTGTTTTAAAATGACAAAATGTGGACGTATCTTTTCAGCATCAACAGCTAGGCACACAAAGTCAGATCCAGCATAGTTCCCTGAAGACTGTGGGTGCCGGTAACGACTTGTTCAAAGTTGTTTTTAATGACATTTTTCTTTCTTTTTATATTAATTCTTCAATTATTGTCAACTGCGAACAGGGATATTTTGAGGACATTTGACTTCCGATATTATCTGGAGAGGATGGATTGATGTTTTTATCCCTCTTGCAATTTGCGACTAGGATCTAATTGCCAATCAGTACTTGATATAGTGGCTTTGCTGTGCCTGCAATTCGGATTTCTAATATTTTTAAATGACACCCTAGTTTGTAGGTAGACACGATGCGTTGATGAAAATGTGCATGCCTGTACTCAAGTGTTTTTACAACACACTAGTGACTGGTCCACATCAACAGATGGCATCTGTAGCCCCAGATATGAAGAGGAAGGTTGTGCATTGTGTATTGAACGGTACATTTTGTATTTCTTCCATGTTTTTGTGTCTTTGTGATTAATGGGACAATCAGTTTTGAAATTGGTCCTGTATTGAGGGAGAACGTTGCAACCGGCAGCTGCGAAACAACCAGTTTTGTTTTTGCCACTGATATGCTTAGTTTGATGAAATCTGAATATTGGGCAGCAACAGGTGTGTGTGTGTGTCTCTCTCTCTCTCTCTCTCTCTCTCTCTCACTCACTCTTGCTCAATACTGGACATATTTGAGAAATAGTTGTCCCTATTAAGAAGTTAGAAACAAAAAAATGGGAACATGGGGTCAAGGTTGAAAAATATTGGAGTTACCCTCAGGAGTAATAGAGTGGTGCTACTTGACCTGCTCAGTCGACCTCCTGTCTGCGTCTTTGCTTTCGACTCTTCTCATTCACTTTATTTTGAAAAATTTGATCATTGGTTGGTTACAGAGCAGATCCTGGAAAGTAGCAGAATGTTTATTCAGACTGACATGTCAAGTGGCTTATATAATGCAGCGCACACACACAGAGACTATAATACACAAGTAGTCAATACTCTACGAACTGCACACTCAATAACGGCATGACCTACAGTATACCAAGTAAGTCCTGTCATTCACCAAGATGACTGTTGCCCTGTTGCTGACTTATGCCTCTGAAAAGCACCAAAGTAGAATATAAAAGGCAAGAAAAGTAAAAAATCCTGTGATGAATAAATGACACATAAATGTAGAGTACTCTCCGGCGACCGTTGGAGAACCTATTCGGTAAAAGGTTGGAATTCGTTGACATACGCAGAGGACTACCGGGATCACATTGACCCAGAGCAGTGTTTGGCAGTCTCTCTGAGCTAAATTGTAGCCTAACCTACTGTAAGCTAATTTGTCGAGTGCCCTTTTAACAAAATGCTCTGATTGAATTTGACCTCCCTCTGGTAAACAGTTACACAGTGCACTGTGTATGTCTTGGGCTTTTATTGTGAAAGTCAAGAACCAAAGGAGTGGATCTGGTATCGTCCGCTTTCCGCCGTGCTATCTTCACGTTCAAAATTGTTCAAGTACAAAATTTGTTTAATACACCCTTACACCCCTAATTGCTCGAAACTCTTATTTACCATTAAGAACTGATTAAGTAAATAATCACACAGTGGAAATGAAAATGTATTGAGAAGTATAAGACTGATGCATTTAACTCATGGAACTTGATAGTACATAGCTGCTTTTAATACTAAACCGTAACAGTATCCGTATTTCTAAATCTTGACCTGGTACTTCTTGGTATCTAATTGGAATCAAATTTCGTGCATGTACTCGGTGTAAGATCCATTGGTTGTTCATTGTCCAGGACTTCTACTCTGCAATAGCTCACTAATTGGTAATCACAGTAATCGGTAGTGCCTTTCACACCAAGTTTGAAGGACACTTCAAAATATCTTGGAGATATTTGGAAATGCATTTTTTTCTGAGACTTATCAGAACTTTCACACCAATCCTCCCTCAGTTCGTAGTGGATGACGTGTGCTTTGACATCTCTGCCAAAGCACTCTGACAGCTTCCCTCTGACTCACATTTTGGACACACAAACACATAGTACATAATGCCATATGCAAATTTGAGATGGCAAATTTTAATGTTTTGATGAGACCAGTCAAGGGGGGGGGGGAGTGACGTCTGCTGAAATTGAACGGTTGTGACTGATTTTTACTATGTGCATTTCGTTAATTCATCTTGTGAGACATGGCTTTTTGTCAGTTACTTCTGTTTCACATGTACATTATGTTGACAGCTCATCCATAACTCTTAAAACATGATGTATTGTATGAATCTCAGGCTGAAATTGAAAAAGAGAGAGGCTTGGAAGCAGGCTTTAATAGAAGCCAATTTAGTTTCTAATTATCTAATGCAAGTGTTGGAACAGCATGCACACGGCTTCACAGTTGGGGGAGGAATTAAATGACACCAAACTGGGCAACATGCAAGTTTCCTGTTCATGTGAAGAGGACATGTGCTTGAGTGAGTTCCGCTTCACTTAAATTTAATTCATTGGCTCCTTTGCAGTCTCTACTCTTTTCTTGTAAACGTCAGCGACTGGTGAAGTGTGTCTTGAGGGACATTCAACTTTTGATGGTTTGATAGGTTTAACATAAATCTAAAATTAATAAATGTATGACGCTGTATTAGGTCCACTGTAGGTAAAAAGAAAAACATAATTACACAGCCTTTCTTAACAAAAGAAAGGACTGTGTGGATGATTATTTTGTTAATTATATACATATAATAAGAATGAATTAATATAATAATTTCTTCATGTAATTTTAGTCTTATCTTGAATATTTACTAAATATAATGCCCTCATGTTGTTGGCTTTTGTTAGATGCTGACAGACAGGATGCCATCAACTTGTTCCTCCAAGTCTACCAGCCATCAGAGTCCAAGCCACACCTGTGGGAGCTGCCCACTGACTTCTACCTGCATCAGAAGAACAGCATTGCCCTCCCCCAAGACAGACGCAGGTAAACACTCATACTTGTACACTTACAAACACACATATATACTTGCTGTACATACATACACACACATGCTTGCGTTTGAATACCTTAACTGCAGTTACATACCGCAAATGTGTATGAACATTTTTAAAAAGCAACTACAAGGACCTTTCATTTTGTGTGGGTTTTGGCAGCCCCTGTGGACATAAGAGGTAGTTTCTTCTTAGAATAAAGACTGCATTTCCCATAAGCACCACCGACTTGTGACATAAAAATCTTGATCAGCCACAACCACAAAATATAATATGAAAATTAAATATCTCGGAGTAAAAATCTCCGCCTGTTTCATTTTAACTGGCTAACATACTACTTGAAACTTGTAAAAATGCAATTAATTTGGTCTGCATACCGTAAATACACAATATACTGTAGAAATAGCCAAACTCCTCGCTGATGGACTTGTTTGCTTGCTGTAGGTCACATAGAGGCATCAGTACTAAATTGAGACTGTTTCATAACCAGTTAAAAACTCCTGGTAGTAGCTTTAATATTTGTTTTGGGGTTAATTAAATGCACCCAACTAGGTGGCTGTGGCTGTAGAGGCTACCCTTGCTGGAGGAGCAACGCTCAAAATTGCCACTGAGCACTTAGCTAAAATTTTAAATGATTTAAACTTTGAAATAATTGCTTTCGGTTGCAACTAACCTTATATCGGCCATTTACTGGCCTAATTTGCAAGCTGTTTGTTCCCAATTGTCTTCATGCTTACATAAAACTAGACCCAGTTTTCTGCTACAGGACACTAGTTTATGTCGCCTCAATGGGCCACGGTAGCTCAGCCATTATTCCAAGAAATGAGCATGGCTGGAACCGAAATCAATTCAGCAACCCACGCACTGCGCTTTTTCTCTCACCAAAGTAGCACAGCACATCACGCACTAAATCATAATCTGTGCTTTCACTCAAATTGGTAATATCGGATAAAGGGCGTATGTATTCAGCAGTTGTACAGTGGGTGGTCCAGCCAAGCCCATTTTTATATCTAGGTTATGTGAAGTCCCAGCAGAGACCATACAGGTTGCAGAGTACGCATCAGTCAGTGGAAAATCTTCTGAAAAGTATGACTGGGCGATATATGGATAAAATCTATATTTCAATGATATTGTAGGCTTGACCATTGGTGCTTTCACGACATATTTACACAATGACAAGTACTCATCGGTAATGTGGATATAATGACTAAGGTAAATAACGGAACAGCTTGAGCAGTCTGGTAAAGTTCAGAAAAGTACATCCCTTTACTGCAATGCAGCCTTTAAAACCAGGAAAAGACAACACTTTATATTACGATATCCTAAATCTAAGACGATAGCTAGTCTCATATTACAATATCTACATAATATCGATATATTGCCCAACCCTACTGGAAATATTACAAATGTGTATATCTTGTCTGTCTCCAGTTACACACTGTGGTGGTCAGCAGGAATCTTGTCCTACCTTCCTGTGGCCTATGATGAAGGTATCTGTTATGATATATGCAATGATGTCTCCAATATCCATAATGTGTGACAGATTAATGCATTGATCCATTTTAATGAAAGTATCAATGTTCTTCATTCTCATTCAGTTGAATTTGAATTTACAATTGCCAGCATTTTTAAGGGAAACGTTTCCTCAAACAACTGGGCATAGTGTATTTGCTGGGAAGTTGTCTGCAGATTTGGTGTACTAATGAGTATTTATGGTTAAAGAACAGATATGACTCATTGGTGTTTTTAACAGTTTTTGTATAGAGCTCTATGGCACAGAGGAATAATCTATATCAGGCTTTAGCTATCCAGGCGATGTTAATCAGCAGGTTCCATTGTTAATATTGGGGTTTTTCATAGGACATATCACCAGATTTATATATTAGGTGTGTGGATTATTGTCTCTAAATGTTTTTTCTGCGTGTGGATGCAGTCTCCTGTGAGGACAACATGAAGAAGATCCAAGTGAAGAGAGTAAACCGCTTTGAGGAGAGTATCGACATCTACACAGAATTCTTCAAGCCTTACGAGCTTACCTCCTTTGATGACACATTCGGCATCGCCATGACCAACTCTGCACGGTGAATACACACACACGCACACACACACACACACACACACACACACACACACACACACACACAAACCTTTACACTATCAAAGATTTTGTTGAGACATAAAACAACCCCAAAATTCGGACCATATTTATTATTGAGGTATTGCCTCCACTCGGCTCTCAATATGGTGAAAGCTGAGCCTGCGACTAGCAAAACAACGGCAACAGCGCTGACAGTGTTAACAGTGTGTGACTTCATTCTCTGCTCAGGACGCTATTACTTCACTATATCTTTACATAGCAAATAGTTGTGTCTGCTATATTATGCTCTGAATTTCTAATTTAGCACCTTGAAATGTTGGGGAAATGTTGACATTGGGCCAGTTGTCCCAGATTTGGTTTATGGGAAACAGCTTTGATGGATAGTGTGCCAAACATTCACTCACTGTTTTTGTGATGTTACTGCAGGTTGTCAGCTAATGTGTCCCTGTCTCATTTGTGCTCATAAAGGGAATTTATGCCCAAGACAGTAGGAGTAGATCCAAGCCCATTCACAGTTCGAAAGCCAGAGGAAACGGGAAAGTCAGTGCTGGGGTGAGTACATCTCAGGTTCTGTACATAACACATTTGTGATGTTTTGGTCGGTGTTTCTTATGTAATAAATTCCATGTCACTGTGTCCTCATACACATGGCTTAATTTGACACTCTGTTCTCAGGTTACCAAAAACAAGGCCCTGTCCTTTTTTTCAGTGCATATTTTTTTTAAATAATCACTCCTGCATACACATCACATACTATGACACAATAGCTCCTAGATTAGAAACATCATGATCTGATGACTTATAATTGTCTCCACTATATTGCAGTACAGCCCGAACACAATCACACTACACCTGACCCCTCTAATGGTCTGCACTGCTTCAGTGTTTTCCATAAATGTTTATTGTTTATTTGGATTCCTGTTGGCTTCCACAAAGTGGTCTCTCATCTTTTTTTTGCAAAATCTCTGGGCTCAACAATGGGCTCTTTAGACATCCGCAGTAGAAGGATGATGCGTCTGAACTTTTTTGTTTTATTCCAGGTATATGTCAGTTTGCTGTCGAAGTACGTCATGCCATTGCAACTGTGATGGGCAATTTAGTCTCGTAAAAAACACTCTGGTCCTGCTGCTTGACTGCTTGATGCATGGCCTCAAAACATAGAAATATATATGAATATTAATTACCATCTCTCTTATTAAGTGTGTTGTGGATATTTGCAGCAACAAGAGCAGTAAGGAGGAGACGCTGCTCCAGAGGAAAACTGCAGCCAGCGCCCCTCCTCCTCCAAGTGAAGAGGCTATCAGCAGCACATCGGAGGACGACTCAGAAGAGGACCGTGACGATGACGGATCCGTGTCCCAACGCTCTACCCCGATCAAACTGCTAACCGAGACCGGAGAGAGCACTCGAACACAGGAGGTATGAAAACACAAAGCATCTAATATCCAATGTCTGGAAATAGATTGACGTGTTCACATCCAGGAAACACATTTAATCTGCAACAGTTTGATTAGATTTAAAACACCTCAAGGTGAAAACACAAGTAAAACTAAATCTAAATTTAAATCTAAATTGTTTAATTTGGAGGAAACAAAGCAGCCTATCAAATCAAATAAAATCTAATGATTCAAGGATATGAAATCTTCTCTAAGGACCTTTGGGAAATGTTATCCCAGTTTATGCCACCTGCTGTACTTTGGACGTCAATAGCATTTTGCATACCAATTTAAGTATTCTACACTAATTATATTTTTCTCCTCCCACTTCCCCCTGAGTCCACAAAGAAAAATGTTCTGTGTTTCTGTTTGCGTCATTTGCGCCTCCGTGACTGGGGTTTTCACACCCGAGGGTCTAAATGGCGTGGGTTTGTGTTGATGCTCGTTTTAGGGAGAGTAGAAGAAGAGTCTGGACTTTCTCCATCTCTTTGCATAATGGGCCTCTTCACATGCAGTACTGCATACACTACATGCCTGTAAAACTTGATCCATGCTGCCTTAAATACTAATCCATCCATCCATCCATTTTCCTCCGCTTATCCGGGGTCTGGTCGCGGTGGCAACAGGCCAAGCAGGCTGACCCAGACTTCCCTCTCACCGGCAACATGTTCCAGCTCATTCTGGGGGATCCCGAGGCATTCCCAGGCCAGCTGGGAGATGTAATCCCTCCAGCGTGTTCTGGGTCTTCCCCGGGGTCTCTTCCCAGTTGGACGTGCCTGGAAAACCTCCAGTGGGAGGCGTCCAGGAGGCATCCTAATTAGATGCCCGAACCACCTCAGCTGACTCCTTTCGACGCGAAGGAGTAGCGGCTCGACTCCAAGCTCCCTCCTGATGACCGAGCTCCTTACCCTATCTCTAAGGCTGAGCCCGGCCACCCTACGGAGGAAGCTCATTTCGGCCGCTTGTAGCCGCAACCTTGTCCTTTCGGTCACGACCCAGAGTTCGAGACCATAGGTGAGGGTAGGAATGTAGACCGAGTGGTAAATTGAGAGCTTTGCCTTCCGGCTCAGCTCCCTCTTCACCAAGACGGTCCGGTGCAGCGCCTGCTTTACTGCTGCAGCCGCACCGATCCGTCTGTCGATCTCCCGCTCCATCTTACCCTCACTCGTGAACAAGACCCCGAGATACTTGAACTCCTTCGCTTGAGGTAGGCACTCCGTCCCCACCTGGAGGGAGCAATCCACCGGTTTCCGGCAGAGCACCATGGCCTCAGATTTGGAGGCGCTAACTCTCATCCCCGCCGCTTCACACTCGGCTGCAAACCGCCCCAGTGAATGCTGGAGGTCACGATCCGAGGAGGCTAACAGGACCACGTCATCTGCAAACAGCAGAGAGGCTATCTCGAGACCCCCGAACCTGACGTTCTCCACCCCCCGGCTGCGCCTAGATATCCTGTCCATGAAAGTCACGAACAGGACCGGAGACAAAGGGCAGCTCTGGCGGAGGCCAACACCCACCGGGAACGTGTCTGACTTATTGCCGAGAATGCGGACACAGCTCCTACTGCAGTCGTACAGAGACCGGATCGCCCGTTGTGATTGCTCCTCTTGAATCTGAGGTTCGACAAACGGTCGGAGCCTCCTTTCCAGCACCCTGGCATAAGCCTTCCCCGGGAGGCTGAGTAGTGTGATACCCCGGTAATTCGAGCACACTCTCCGGTCCCCCTTTTTGAAAATGGGAACCACCACCCCAGTCTGCCAGTCCATGGGCACTGATCCCGACCCCCATGCGACATTGAAGAGGCGTGTCAGCCAGGACAGCCCAACTATGTCCAGCACTTTCAGCATCTCAGGGCGGATCTCATCCACCCCTGGCGCCTTGCCGCTCCTCCGCGAATCGCCACCTTAACGTGGTGGAGTGGTGGAGCGGTACCAGCTAGATATAGTTGGACTCACCTCCACACACTGTGTGGCTCTGGAACCAAGCTCCTGGAGAGGGGTTGGACTTTGTCCTTTTCCGGAGTTTTCCGGAGTTGCCCAGGGTGAGAGGCACCGGGCGGGAGTGGGGATACTCACGAGCCCTCGGCTGAGCGCCGCTGTGTTGGAGTTCTCCCCGGAGAACGAGAGGGTCGCCTCCATGCGCCTACGGGTTGCGGGGAGCAAGGCTCTGACTGTGGTTTGTGCTTATGCACCAAACAGCAGTTCAGAGTATCCGGCCTTCTTGGAGTCGGTGGGAGGGGTCCTGGATCGACTTTGTAATCGTATCATTTGATTTGCGGCCGTATGTCTTGGACACTTGGGTGAAGAGAGGAGCAGAGCTGTCAACTGATCACCACCTGGTGGTGAGTTGGATCAGATGGCAGGGGAACCGGTTGGAAAGACCCGGCAAGCCTAAACGTGTAGTGAGGGTGAACTGGGAACGTCTGGCGGAGGACCCTGTCCGGGAGGTCTTTAACTCCCACCTCCGGAAGAACTTCTCACACATCCCGAGGGAGGTTGGGGACATGGAATCCGAATGGACCATGTTTAAAGCCTCTATTGTGGACGCGGCCGCTAGGAGCTGTGGCCGGAAGGTCATCGGTGCCTGTCGTGGCGGCAACCCGAGAACCCGGTGGTGGACACCGGAGGTGAGGGAAGCCGTCAAGCTGAAGAAGGAGACCTTCAAGGCCTGGTTGGCCCAGGGGTCTCCCGAAGCAGCTGACAGGTACCGGCAGGCCAGAAGGGCTGCAGCTGCGGTGGTCGCGAATGCTAAAACTCGGGCATGGGAGGAGTTCGGGGAGGCCATGGAGAAGGACTTTCGGTTGGCCTCTGGCCATCCGACGACTCAGGAAGGGAAAGCAGGGCTTACCCCAGGCTGTTCTCAGCAGGGGGGGGGGGACGACTGCTGACCTGGGCAGGGGACATCATTGGGCGGTGGAAAGAGCACTTTGAGGAACTCCTAAACCCGACCAACATGTCCTCTGCAGAGGAGGCAGCGCCTGGAGATCTAGGGGGAGGCTCACCCATATCCCTGGCAGAGGCCGCTGAGGTAGTAAACACTAACGGGAAAAAAAAACGTGAAAGCTGGCCAGAAATGGATCTCTGAATCAGCCTCATGTTGCCAACTGGTGGTCCTGACTCAGACATGAAATAAGAAACTAACTTTAATTTGTGACATTTCAATCAAAATCTAGAGAAACAAAGGTAAACTCGATGATGAAAGCTAAAATCTACAATCGTTTTTATAAATATATTATTTATCCGTTTGTGTGGTGATATGGAAATGCAAGATTGCTGAGATTTGTGTTTTAATTTGGAGTTTTCAATCATGAGATCTTTTTGTCCTGACTTATTCTGAAACATTGTCTGTACAGGAAGCATTCTTGCTGAAACCAGCCTGCTATGTCTGCAGCTTTTCATGCAGCGTAATCATTATTATGTCCAACGTGATCGAGATTTTACCGGAATTTGATAGGAACACCACTTCTTTCTGGTTCTTGTTTTTCCCTTGTGTTACTTTCATGGTCCGTTGTTCCATAGCTTCCTCCTTTAAGGCCCTGGTATCATTCAGACGTGTGTCTTGGGATTTTGTCTGCTTTTAGGACATCAGGTGATATTGGCCACCTGCAGGTGTCTTCACTTTGTGATGTCTCATTTAATCTCCTCTTGTGTAGTGAGATGTGTTGTGAGGGTCTAAGTCTGCTTTGACAAAGTCGGTGGTTATTTCTGGACACATCTGAAAAGAGGTCAGTTGTTGAGCAAATGTTTTCTTGTTATTGCATCCTGCCCACAATGTTCTTTTGTTAATGGTGTCTTGGTGTCATCTGTGATTGGGTTCAGTTCCAGTTTTTGATTTATTTCCTTTCTACTACATTCATTGAGATTTTCTGGTATCAAACCCTTAAACATTAAGACCAGCTGTGACAAAACTGTGTGCTTTAACTAGCTTACAGACTTTAGCAGGTACAGGGAAAAGCCGCCAACATTAAAGCCAGATTCCATTATTTGTTCTTCTCTTTTGGCCACCTGCAGGCAGCAGAACAGGCTGATAACGCAACGGATAAATTATGACGTTAAAATGGCAAACATGTTCGTAAACTATTGGCAGTTGTCAAGTTTCCTATTTACACATCAAGCCGACATTGAGCAACAGCACATGTTTCTGTCCAGCTAATCTTTAGCAGCTAAATAGCTGCAGATAACAGAAAACCAAAACAATGAGCTGAAAGACGCTGAACGCTCTGTAGAGCTGAGGTGAACTGCAGAGGTCGGTACTAATTCTCTGTGTTCGTCTCTACGAGCGACATCTTGAACATTACACATAGTTGTTTGATTAATTGCAGCTTTAAAGTTTTCGCCATCAGTCTATGTTATATCTCTGTATTATTTTAACGTTTGACTCCTTACAGAGCAAAATAGGAAAAAATAAATCTACATTCAATATATTGTTCTGGACGTCATCAGGTACGCAGATAAGTTAAATATGAGATCCTATTGCTGCTATTTTAACGGCGTCTCTCGCTATATAGTTCACCATGTGTTATAATGTATAGTTTAGAGCAGGGGCGAGTAGGTTTGTCTGTGTGCAGTGATGACAAGACACCAGGAAGTGTCTTCCTGCTTCCAGGCTTTATGCTAAGCTTAGCTGAGCTAATCATCTACTTATGAGCTTTTTATGTAAAAGACAAATAAGAGGGTGGCATTGATTTTCTCATTCAACTCTAGGCAAGAAAACGAATAGGCATATTTCCCAAAATGTTAAACTACTCCTTTAAATTGAAAAAAGTGTTTTGTAGAAAATATATATAATTTCTCATAGTAATGTATCAAAAAAAGTATTGTTTAGGTATTTGTACAGAAAAGAAAATTACATTTGGACCAGCAGGTTTTAATTGGCAACTTTTTCTCAATTCCCATCTTTATGTCAGCAGCCATTGAAGATCCTACAAAATGTACTGTTTTTATGGAAACAGAAATATAGCAAAACTGTCCACATAGAATCTGAACCAAAGAGAATTCAATAGGACCTCTGTAGGTATCCTCTTATTTTCCTCTCGGGGCTTTGAGCCGGCAGCTGATCATGAATATTTTGGTCTGGAGAGCTAGCTCACGTGTTGGGCGCACACACACACACATACCCCGCGCTCATGCGCCACGTGTCTCTGCCTCCGAGCCCGTCCCCGAGAATGGATTGCTAGGGTGCCAGCACAAAACAAAACTGTTGAAATATTTAAACATCAGATCATTATTACACTCGCCATGTAATTACACATGCTCATTTAATATTCCCTTCAATACGGGCACACCTGTGCCTGAATGAACATGAATTGATGTGCAGTGTGTGTGTGGGTGGGGTGTAACATATAAGCATGTATGCGTGTTTACCGACACGTTTGTGTTCTCACACGCCATATGAATGTGTATATGCTGCAGGAGGTGTGTGTGTTCTTATGTACTCTGTGTTTGTGCGAGCCTCTTTGTGTTTTGATCGTCTCTGTATGTGTGTGCGTGGGTTCACAGCTGCTGTTTGTTGGACATGGTCCTGGAACACCCTCGTACGTTCTCCCCTTCCTGCACCTTGGATCAATACATTATGAAACTAGAAAGCATCACAGTATGTTGAGCATATTGCAGTTACAGAGAACAGTGGCCACTCCGGTGCGTGCTGTTGCATAACAAGCTTCTCTCGGTCCGTAAATTACTCAGGAACTACCTTGTGTTGTTTCCACGTAACAAGTCACAACATTAAACATTATTACCTTGAAACAGAAGGGAATGTTTGGAACATAAAAGAGGATGAATTTCAGCATTATTCAGCAAGTTTGTCTTTCAAGAATTTCCATGTGATTTGAAGATATAATGCTGATAGTCACACATAATATTATGGAAACATCAACCTATAATATCTCATTACTATCAGGTTTTTACCCCATTAATGTCACCATGTTACAATTTCAAATCCAGATATTGCACCGCCATAACCATTTTGTTGCAGGTTACCATATTGTTGTCATTAAAATGGGTTTCCCCATTACTACCGTTTGATTTTACCCCTTATTGCCCCTTTTGCATAACTAATATTGCATGGTAATACTTAATTATTACCTCTTAATATCAAACTCTTAGCCACTATTAACGTGTTATTACCGAGCTGTAACACAAAGTGCCACTGAAAAGGGTAAATTCACTGGATTAGTCAAAAACAAACATTCCCATTTAGCTATTGGATCTATAAATGTTTTTTCAAATGATCATATTTTAATATATTGTGTGATTTTCACAATGTAAAATGACATAACCATAATATAGAAGGTCCTTTTTCACATGGGTTACCCTGCAGTAGTCAGATCATGCTCGGTTGTCATGAAATGCTCCGATGTCTACCAAGAAAACACTCACAACTGCAATATAACAGCACCCCCGCAATCTCGCAAAACGCCACAAGGCAAGAGGGATTCACGCTGTTTTACATGAAAAAAACGCTGTTTCCGCCCAACCACCAACACGTGAAAACAGAAACTGAGATGAATCGGACCATACTACATTCTCTCACCTTTTCTGTTGTTTAAGCACGTGTCCACTGTAGCCTCATGGTATTGTTCTTACTGAATACAAATGCAATCCGCCTCACTCTGCTGTTGTTGTGATGTGTTTCCAGAGAAGTCTTTCTGTTGCAGCGGGCTGTTATTTGATCATCAGCCTTGTGCTTAATAGAAATGCGTAATAGATCACAGCAGTACAGTACTCATTATCATGCCCCTTTGATTTGGTAATCTTGATAAACCTTTAAAAAAATGAAATGCTGAAATCATTTTTTATTTATTGGCCTTAATTTGGCTTGATTGCTTGTTTCCTAAGAAACTGAAAAACGTAACATAAGTCATAGCATGTCCTGATGAGGAAATACACCTGGAAATATGTATTGGTTCTCTTTTTTCTTTCTGTTCTCATAGCATTGTGTAATGATGAATCATCATTGGCAATAGTTTTATTTTATTTTGTAATAGTTTAGGCGATTAAGCCACATATCATTGTTTAATCGCACTTTTAATTAAAGGTCTTGTTCATATATTTCCTGTTTCTTACCAGATTATACTCTCATGATCCACGGCTTTGTTATGATTTTATTATCTTCCAACTTGATTTACCTACCATTTATTTTTTTACTTCTGTATTTTGAAACTTCCCTAATGACTGAAAGAGACACATAAAGCCACATAAAGCCTTTTAGAATCAGCTCGAACCGGTCTGACCTTTTGTTTGTTATAATTATGATGTCCCTCTAAACGTTGGACACTGTGTGCAGGACCCCCAGGAGGGCACTGTCTCTGAACATGAAACCTCATCAGACACAATATAACCAAATTACATTCATAGTTAAATTACACTCCTTGGGCCGTCTTAAGTGGTGAATCGGTTGTAGGGAAGCGGCTGAACCGCATGACCTTGTCTGTATGATTTTACGCTTTGAGTTGCAGCTACTTGATTAGCTGTTTGAAGGAGCTGGCTGTTAGCCAGATTACAGTTGTGGTAAAACGTCTGTTAAATTCTTTTTGTGTTTTTTCTGTCTTGGTCACCTGCACATGTGTACTGTAGCTTCTTACCTTTGCCTGCTCGCCTCCTCAGGAGATCCAGCAGCAGTCGGTTAAGGAGCCCTATGGGCTCAATCTGGCTGCGTTTCCTGCTGAGAAAGACCTGCTCATTTACCAAAGGTAATAACCACAACGCTGGCACATACATGCATACATGCACCGTTTGATATTACAATGAATGCACACTGAGCCAGAGTGTATAGGGCTTTAACAACTTTATTTTAAAATTGAATGCAATCCAATGCAACCTTTACAAAGATAATAATGTTCAGTTTATTTTGACACTGCCAGACAGGTAGTCATTAAACAAAATGTATATTATATTGAGGTTTCCATTGGTGTTGAACTGAACTGCATCATATTGAGATGTGTTTCTCATGTTTTGCTGATCAGTTGCTGCTAGCTAGATAAAGTCACACACACACACACACACACACACACACACACACACACACACACAAACAGGAACAAGCAGTAAGTGTCAGCAGCCCCCTCAGGGGGGATATCTGTCATTTTGCAAAAGGGACATTGTCAACTCTGCCCTGCTGTGTGCATCACACTTCTGACCTCACTGCTGTTCGTCCCCCTCTCCCCTCCTTTCACCCTCCAGTTTCTTTTTCTTTCTGTCCTTTCTATTTCCTTTTGTCCTTTCTTCCTGCCTGCTCGCAACCATGTTGATGAGATACAGTGAATAGCCGCCATCAGGCTCTGAAAATGAACACAACTATCTGTTCTTTGGATGATACAATGCGACGTCTTTGAAGGAGCTTTAATAGCTCTTTTTTTGTCTCACTCTGCCATCCTAAGCCCCCTGCGGATAACTGGCCCAGTGTGTTATTTGAGTGTGGTGTATGGTCCTGTCTTTGAAGCAATAATCAACATTTGTGGATTAACAAGTACACCTAATATTATAGCAAATACATAAACTTATACATTAGAGAATTCCATAAAGCGCGGCGTATCTTGAAAGTGTACTTTACTGTCTGGACGAAGAATGTCGTTCATATCCCCCTGCTGTAGTGGCACATAATGAGAATGAAACTGCATTCATTATTGAGGGTGGGAGTTGAAATTGCTCCAAAGATGTTAGCTGCAGCCAAAGCTCTGCTAATCAGTGCATTAATATTAAATAATCATAAGCCAGAGCCAGAGGGGAACTCTCAACAGTTGCATGTTATTGTGTCTTTGTGAGAGAAAAATATCCTGAGGTGAAATTTGAGATTTGATGAGATCTCAACAGATACAGTATGTTGCTCACCTTTTTTACATAATTGTTATTGGCATTTATGCCATAATTTGACAGGTGACGGTGTAGAAATAGGGGGGAGAGAGAGAGATAGAACGATAGAAAGAGAGGGGTGTGACATACAACAAAATATCCAAGGCAGGAATCAAAATATACTGTAGATTTTTGTCAGTTTTGTAGCAATACTTTCATTTTGTGTTTTTTGTTTTCCCTGCAGGTTTGCACATCTGGGCGAGAGCCAGCACAGGGTGGAAAGAACCGAACGCATAAACCTGGCAAACATCATCTGCTTGTGAGTAAAACATGTGACAAATTAACCCAAACACACACACAGTGACAAAAAAAAGACAAGTTTACCCATATGTGCCCAAACTCAATAATCCTCACACACGTGTGATATTAAGCAATACGTTGCAATATGAGTAGTTGTTATAAAATGGCACTTTTTAAGTACCTCTCAACATCTCCAGTAGTCAAGTCAGTTTTATTTATTTAGCCAGTTATTATGCATCACAAATATTACAATCTGAGCAGCATGAGGCTCCCTCTGACCTGTTCGACTCTCACTTTGGTTAAGAGAAAAACTCTCCAAACAAACCTCTTTAACTGGAGGAAGAAATAGAAGAAACATCAGGGAAGAGCAGCTGAAGAGGGATCCCTCTTGGTACACGTGAACACAGTTGCTCGCCCTAAGTGGTCTCCAAGAAAGTCTAGCTGTGCCCTCTCTAATCTTCATCCACGATAACCAAGCACGCTTTCTTTACTTCTTGTTTCCCGGTCAGTCTCCCCCCCCCCTCCCGCCTTCCTCATGGCTGCGGCCGTGACCCAGCAGGTGATTGTTTTTCTCAGCCGGATGGCAATGTGCAGCCGTACAGACGCATTAGCAATTTCCGCTCCAGTGTTTTATCAGAGCGAATAGAGTAGAGAATAGAAAGTGTCTATGCCCCCTCTTTTAATTCTTCTTTATTAATGCATATGCTTGCATATGTGTAGATATTGTATGCACAATCATACAACATACAACAGGCAGAATTTTTTATTGAGTTATGATTGTCAGACATTTAAACATTTTACATGCATATATTGACTTTTTGGGAAATATTCTTATTTGTTTTCCTGTTGAGAGTTAGATGAGACAATCAATACCACTCTAATGTCTGTATGCTAAACATGAGGCTCCAGCAGCCAAGAATAGTTTGGCATGTAAAAAAAATCAAAGAAAGGAAGTATTAATATTATTAATATGCTCTGGGTTTACCAGTCACTCAGCGCAGTGTTCTTACACATGTAAGCCCCTACTTAATATAATAACCCTTTTATCTGAAGATGAAAGATGTTTAAGTGAAGGCTTTTGGAAGAGAAAGAGCCCAGAGGCAGCAGTGGCACAAGAGGATTGAGAGGTTGTTCTTGTTCTATTGTTTTGCCCTAACAATACATCCAGTTAGCCAGATGGGTTTTGATGTTGAGCTGCACAGCTTGGATGGAACATACTCGATGAAATGATACCTGTACCGAATCGAAGAATGGTAAAGAAAGGGCAAAAGTATGTCCATGTGTCAGGGTTTTTCTTGAGCACAGGTGAGTTAAAAGTTTTGTCATGTCCCACAACTTTCTATAAAGCCAGATGGAGCCAAAGGTCACCATTCAGAAGAAGAAAGGTTGAAGCTCATGTGAGATTGACACTGCTGGGAGGAGGTCCTTAGTTGTGTACGTCCCAGCTCACTATACTTCACTAGTTCTCTTTTTGTGTACATGCATGTTTGCTCAAAGGAAATGCCATTTAGAGTAATGTGCCGTAGACATACAGTTTTTGGCTTTACAGCAGCCTGGGAATCAAAAAGTCTTTTCATCCTTGTTCAGTTTGCGTCCCTCCTCGCCCGCCTATATCTCTACCTTTCATCACTCCGTCCACTCGTTAGTCCGTCCTTACCAATTATGTCATCCTCGTGCCAGGTCCGCAAGGTTCGGCGTGTGCATCTGCTGTTGTGAAACAGCGCTATTTTAAGACACTTTCACAGCACAACAAACATGTTTTCCCCATTTGGAGTCCTTTAGTCTGAATCCTCCCTCTGTGTAGTTCCTTTGTTGACCGATGAGGCATGAGCAAAGCTGACTCAATCAGTGAGGATAAAAGCGGAAAGGATATATGATATGGCGGATACCTGCTGAGAGGTATCAGAGAGGTGTGTTGATTTGTTTCCTCCTCAAATTATATTCAGCTTTTAAGTCACAGATCCAGATGGATGCACAATTATGACTAAAAAAAGATCAGATTGTCACACTTGCAGCAGTTTCTGCAAGTGTGACAATGTAGGAAGAAAACCTCTTTGTAGCTGGAGGATCCCTGCTTCACTCTACATTTCACATCATTTGGCATGTTGGCTATAAAGATGATCTGTTCAGAGCTGCTGAGATGTTTCACAGAGCAAAACCTATTTAATTGTTACCTGATAGAGAGAAGAAAGTAAAGGCTAATTGAATAGTCTGTCTTGTTTTCAAGCTTTTGAGAGAAAAGTCGCTATACTCCCTTTGACTTTTAAAAAAAAATGATTGAAAAATGGTTTAATGGCACTCAAGCTGTTCATCTTATGTACTGTATATTAAAGCCTCTCAGCCTCTTGGTCGCCTCGTGACAGTGAAATCTTTAGTTTCAATATACTTACTTGCAGGTCTAGTTATATTATTATAATGTACATTAAACCCTTAGTTGAGGACTCCATGATGACACTTCGTTCAATATTGATCTCAAGGCTTCCTTGGTCTACCAGAGCCTTTGTTGTGGCTGTGATTCAGCCAATGATGTGCATTTATAATGCAGCCGTGTGTCTGAGCAGCAGCTCACTGGGGCCTCGGCTGCTGTTAAACTGGCTGACTGAGTAATTCTGCAGTGAAAGCAGCCTTCTCGACAATCCTCTTGTTGTTTCCATTATCAGTCCTCTGAATGACTCACCCTCTCCAGCAGATTTTCATGAGATGATGTTAGTTGGAATACAACATTTCTCTAGCCCTTGCTGTGTTTTTTTTGATGATCTCGTGGCATTAATTGAACATGTCTCTGCCCCATGTCTTCGTCCCTTTCTCTCAGAGAGCCGGTGTCCTGCTTCCCGGAGGACAGCATCTACGGCCTTTCTCCGCCGCAGGTCGACAGAGACAGCCGCGAGGAGTTTGAGAGCCATGTGTTGATGGGTCAGGGCCAGTTGAGGGTGCTGTGCAGGGAGGACATGCTGATGTACAGGGAGTACGTCAAGAACAGATACATGTAAGACACGGACAACATGGACTGGATCTCTGCTACCAATATATGCAAACCCAGATTGGCAGATCCAATCCCGTCACATACTTCCATTTTGACATGACATTTTTTCTTGCATTTGTGAATACATTTAACTTAATGAAGATAATGGCGCATGTACCACCCATGTGTCCTACATTTGGACCACGTTGATTTCTTTTTCTTTTTAACAGGCTACCTATATGGTGCTTTTTTTATTTATTTCAATTTTAATTGCAACTCTTTTAATAAACTATTTAATTACATGTATGTTTTGGACTTGTAAATTCTTAAGTGTTTTGAATCTTAAATAAATTTAGTTAATTTATCAGAGAACAGCTATTTGCTCTGTTCAGATATAGCGGTGGAGTAATGTCTACCTGAGCAGAGAGCACTCTCCCTCTGTGTGTTGTCACAACGCGCTCGTCACCCTCCGGGTCCCCCTCAGGTCAGCACTGTTTGCACTGTCGCCATTGTTTGCACTGCTCCCGATGCTAGCACCGTTAGCTGCTAGCCGCAGGCTCAGCCGTCGCCATGTTGTGGAGACAATAGATATGATCTGAATCCCATATTTAACACCTTTTTAAATGTTGGAATTAATTCAATGATGGCAGGCCCAAATATTATGATGATTTAATATTCCACCTGAGAGTTTAGCTTTATTTTTTAAATTGACTCTGTTAAACCATCGTGCCATGACGGGGATATACATTGTTTTGTTTTAATTGCTCTCAAAAGCTTTTTGGAACAACAGTTTTAAGCCCTCTTTGCACGGGACTAGTATCACCAGGGGGCCTCGTATAAGTGATGGCAGACAACCTCCACAATTAATACAGATCACTAGAGGTCCGCAGGGAATACTGGTCCCCCGCATATGGGGGCTTGACATGATGTAAATCCTTCATGTACTGTAAATGTATATCCAGACGAAACACATCACTGATGCTTTGACATTGTGGGGTTTAAGTCATTCTTAGTTTACCAAACTGCACACAGATTTGTCTAAAGCTGATTATTATGTACACCAGTTAAAAATCAAACATTTATTTATGAACACAATGTGCACTTTTCTAAAATTCCCCCCGCTTTGCTCCTCTACTTTAATGTCTTTTATGTATTGTTCATCACAAAAAAACGTCTCTTCCCTCCAACTGTCCTCTGCTTTATTTTTCACGCGTTATTCAGCCTTTTCACTTTAGTTCCGTCTGTCACACTTACTCCCTGCTCTCACGCACTCTTTTTGCACTCAGCTTTCAACCACAGGTGTCAGGAAATGTGAAATACGATGAACACTGTATTTCCTCTAATGCACTATACACATGCAGTCAGCATAGTGCTCGACCACTGGTCTCTGCATCAGTGCCTCGTGAGGACGGGGGGGGTGGTGAGTGGTGCTTCAGCATGTGATGTTGTAGAGAACGGCACTAGGACTTAAAATGAATAAGCTGCATTTATAAGCAAATGAACTCCAGATGACGGATTATGCGTCATATTTTCAAATTTGCAGCGGCATTGTTCTTAATTGGAGTGACTAGAATACAACCAGGAATTCACCTAAAGAGAAGACGGTCTCTCACTTCGCAGTCTGTGTCCTTCAGTCCCCTTTTTTCCTCCTTTGGAAGCTCCTCAGCTGACTCAAGAGGCTTTTACCTTTCTACTCTGATGGTTGTTCGCTGGATAAGACCACTAGAGGAATATACTGTAGATCAAGTCCGGCTGCTTTGCTTTTGTTCTGACCCGGGATGCTTTCGAATTTTGAGCATTCCTGATCATGACCAATCGTTGTTTGTTTGCTAGAAAGAATGAAGTAGTATAAAGGGTGGTAAGTATTTTTCACAGTGAGTTGAGAAGACCCCAACCGCCGATGAAATGTTTGACTGGACATCAAAAACTTCAAAAACAAAACAAAATCACTTAAATACAACTGTGGGTGTGATTTTACCTTTTGCAATATTCGTAAAGGTTGAATTCAGGCTATGAAAGACCTTTCTGGATGACATACTGGTATTAAACTTAAGATCCACCATCCGTGATCACAAGTGTTTCATTTCTCAACATAATGTTATTAGCAATCATGTAATTATCATAAAATCGATGGTCGAGATGACATCTGCCGAGAAGCAGGTACAGTACGGTCGGTCAGACGTATCCGAATATGTGATTGTTCCTTTTGGGGTTGGGTTCTTTTCGTTTTCAAGGTGTGTGTGTGTGTGTGTGTGTGTGTGTGTGTGTGTGTGTGTGTGTCTCTGTCTGTCCCTGGGTGAAAACGTTTCCTCTTGTGAGAAGTATTAGATGTTTGTGGGTAAATGAATTGAGGTGTTATGTCTCTTCAGTAAACGTGTTCCTGCGACGTGTCCGTTCAGCTGTCACAGATACATTTCATCTCCACCAATCTCTTAATGTATCTGGTAAAGGGTGTGCTTGTGCTCTAGCTTGTGAGAGCATGTGTGCACTCTTGGAAAAAGGAGAGCACTGCTGTCTCTGTGTTTGTGGGCAGGGGGACTGTAGGCGGTCGGGGGCTGTTTTGGTCTTTTAAGTAAGGCTCTGTTTTTCTCATGTGTTGTGTTTAGAAAGGCAGGTGTCTCATTACATTGAAACCTCTCAGCAACACATGGGTATGGATGAATAAATGCATCTCGTCACTGATATTTTTAAAGGCAGCTTGTTCTCAGTAATCCTCACAAAAATAACTGAATGTTTAAGTGTGTGTGTGTGTGTGTGTGTGTGTGTGTGTGTGTGTGTGTGTGTGGCACCGGGGGTGCAGTGCTTCTATTGAGGTGGAAATTTAATTTGTTTGGTTTCGTCTATCATAGAAAACAATTATTCCGTATTTCGGTCTTGTGTGTGTGGTTGGGTATCTGCCCTGGTCTCTGACATGAGTCGCTGGGGTCTTCATGTGACCGCTTAGCTTATGAATGAAGACGACCCCCTCTCTGCTGACAAAAGGTGGCCAAACACCTGTTTCCTGGAAACTAAAACTAGTTACCATATTGCCATGCTGCTTTGAATCTCCCCCTACCTCAACCCGGCTCTCAATATTTCATCCACGCTTGTATGATATTTAAATTGGCGCTTTTTTTTACATTTATGGTTAATTGTTTATATTTTATTACACATGTGCATATATATATATGAAGAAAATATTTCAAACGGAGGTAAAAGAGTCATGGCTTCAACCAAAGATATAAAAAGTAACGGCATTAACATCCTACTGGGTATCACAAGATGTTTTTTCTCAAATGCACAGCATTTACCTGACGTACTGAACACTCCTCCCATGGTGCATTAGCTTGTTAGAAAGTCTCTTGGTCCAGAACATCTGTTACATGAGCTCCCTGTATCTGTCCTCTCTTGTTATAAACTCATTTCATTTCAGGACAAACTCTCCTTTTAACGTGTTAAACACAGGTGTAACTTGTGTCAGCTTTTGGCTGGCTGCCTTCTATTAATGCGAGCTGTTGTTAATGATATTAGTTCCAATACATGAATGTGTCTAATTGCCTACTGTTCAGACAGCTAGCATACTAGTTAGCATGCTAACACTAAACTAACCACGTAACTAGACTAGTATTGGTCTAGTTCACCTGAAAAGAAGATGAACCACATATTCTCCTTTGAAATTAAGGCAAATTAGCCGGTGTTTAAGACAAATTGATTTGATACATTAGACTTTGCTTTCAAAGTATTAATCTACAACATATGTACATGAAGAGTTGTTTTTACAGGTTATCCCCCCACCCCAATATGCATGCTGCTTGTACTTGACACCTGTTTGTGTGCTTTTGCACCTGATCCTCAACTACTTCGCTGAGATCAAAATGTGAGTTTTACTGAGGGAAGAAGAAGAAGAAGAAGTAGTTATGGTTTAATTTTCTAAGTCAAAAAAACACAGAAAAATGCAAGAGCTTTGGTGTCAGGGAGTCTCTCTCTCCCTCTCCCTCTCTCTCCCTCCCTCCCTCCCTCCTTCAGGAGGATTTAATCTCTCCGTGTCTGGTCGCTCCCCTCTCGTCCTCCATGCTCCGTCCTCCTCACTCACACCTTTCTCCTCGAGCTGAACACCGGCCAATGCTTCACAGCAGCCCTGCCCTGGGTGTCTGTCCCATGCGTGGGAAGCACAACAAAATCAAGGGCTTCACTTGAGAGCGTCCAGAGGAGCGACAGAAAGGGTTGCAGTCCTTTTGCATCCTCTTCACTTTGAATTTGTTTGACACTTACCCATCGGACGAGGGGCTCCAATTTCAGAGAAAATCTCAGCGCATAACGTTTTGAACACGGAGGTACGTATTCTATACTTCTCAGAAATGTTTATGTCGGAATGAACTTGTAAACATCGCTGTAGCAATCTATGATATAATTTAGAGGAATACATCAAGACACTGAGCATTCGATTTTGAATAGTTATAGTTATATAGTTATTAAGCACCAAAATTACACTGCAAGTCTTAATACAAGCATTAAATCTAATTTTTAAACAAAGTTATGACGACTTGGGTCATGTTTTGTTTAGCTTTCTACGGATCTTAGTGCTGGGATTTCAGCACCACGGAAAGCTCATGAAGCTTTTGCTGCTTCACTACGACAACTTCAGAAGGGAATATCCACCCTAAAACTGAATTTTTTATATGTGAGATATTACCTATAGATCAGCTGTAGTTGGATGCAAGTCTTTCTATTTTGAAATACAAGTAAGATAGTTGTCTCAGAATTTACTCACAATGGAGCATCCCCAAAATCACAGAGGAATTTCTCTGCTGCTCAACTCAAATTCACAAACTAAAAGAGCTGTACAGCAGATACTATAGAAATTACAAAAGATATATGTTTTAAGGTGGATTTTCATCAACTTTGGCATGCAACAGATTGTCTACAAGTGTCTATAGTCTGAGCCTACAACTGCTATATTTACATTTAAAATAAAAATGCTGTAGGTATTGGTAAATGATGTGCTTTGTTATATACTTTTTTTGCATTGGCTATGACAAGCAAACACCATTGCCTTCAGATCATAATTAACAAACCAATCTACTTCTACTGCCATCAGGACAAAAAGACGACAGCGTGGAGATGATGAACGAGTCTCTGGTGGTGAACGACTCCTTTGCGACTCCTGCGGCTGGAGAATCTCTCCCATGGATGGAGGCTGATTCTTCGGAGCACAACGGCAGTCTGGAGTTCTCCACCACCCCGTTAGATTCGCCCATCAACCCGTGGGACATTATGCTTTGCATGTCAGGCACCGTCATCGCCTGTGAGAACGCCATAGTTGTAGCAATCATCTTCTACACGCCGACACTAAGGACTCCCATGTTTGTGCTGATTGGGAGCCTGGCCACAGCAGATCTGCTGGCCGGCATGGGACTAATCCTGAACTTCGTGTTTCAGTATGTGATCTCCTCTGAGACTATCAGCCTTATCACTGTAGGCTTCCTGGTGGCCTCCTTCACTGCGTCCATCAGCAGCCTTTTGGCCATAACAGTGGACCGTTATTTCTCCCTCTACAACGCCCTGACATACTTCTCAGAGAAGACACTGCAGTACGTACATCTGATGTTACTGGGAACCTGGGGGGTGTCTCTGTTTCTGGGCTTGCTGCCAGTGCTCGGCTGGAACTGCTTGGACGATCCGGCCTCCTGCAGCATCGTTCGCCCTTTGACACGGAGCAACGTCACGCTACTGGCCACCTCCTTCTTCATCATCTTTGTGCTCATGCTGACGCTCTACTTCAAGATTTGCAAGATTGTGTGCCACCACGCCCACCAAATCGCCCTCCAGCAGCACTTTTTTGCCACGTCGCATTACGTCGCTACTAAGAAGGGGGTCTCCACTCTGGCCATCATCTTGGGGACATTTGGTGCCAGCTGGCTGCCCTTCGCAATCTACTGCCTGGTAGGCGAGAGGGAGTATCCATCAGTGTACACCTATGCTACGCTGCTGCCAGCCACCTACAACTCCATGATTAACCCCATCATCTACGCCTTTAGGAACACAGAGATCCAGCGCTCCCTCCATGTGCTTCTCTGCGGCTGCTTTCAGTCCAACAAGGCCTACCGTTCCAGATCACCAAGTGAGGTCTAAACAGGTGCTAGGGCTCTTTTTGTGTGAGTGTATGTGTGTGTATGTGTGTGAAAAAAGACGGAGCAAAAAGACAAATCACTCTGTGACCATTGACAATCTGCTTACAGTTGACAGTGAATGCTTTTGGGGGCGACCGTGGGTTAAGAGGGTTGTCTGGGAACCGGAAGGTCAACGGTTTGATCCTCGACTGGGACGTGTCGCGTGTCGAAGTGTACCTGAGCAATACACTGAACCCCAGGCTCCCCGGGCGCCTGTCATTGGCAGCCCACTGCTCCCTACAGGGATGGGTCAAATGCAGAGACAAATATCCCCCTTAAAGGGATCAATATAGTATAATAAATTAAAAATAAAAATAAAAAAGAATGTGAAGATAGATATGTATACTGTATCTGCACTTTATTATGTCCCAACACAAGTTAGGATGGGATTTTTGAAATGCTGTGAACAAGAAACTTCTGTGAAAAAGACAAAACAAACCTGTGAATGGGCTTAAATGAGAAAAGGAATGGAAAATCTTGCACTTTAGTCCGTGTTTTTTGAAATGCCAAAGCAGTATTGTAAAGCCCTTATTGTGTTTAAACGTTTCAACTTGTGAGTACTTGTGTGCCATTTTTCTATTTTGTATGGTATCGTCTTTGATGTGCATTTTCTACAAGAGGAATAAAAAAAACAAAATCAAATCCAGCAGTGGCTCCATCCTGTGTCATTACTGCAGCACGTTTCTTCCAAAGACTCCTTGCACTCGGCTTGTTTTTGTTTGTTTTTTTACATCCTCTTCACTTCGTTCCAGCTTCTTCTTCTGGAGCTCAGGTGGGTCTGTTTGAAGAGACTAATGGCACCTTAAGAAAGCAAGTACCATGTCCCAGAGAGTAGCTTAAATGTACACATGTTTGAGTCCTGTTTGCTCAGTGTGTGTGTGTGTGTGAGTGTGAGTGTGAGTGTGTGAGAGCCTTATAGAGAGAGAGAGATACCACAAATGTGTTAAAACATGTGCCATGTGGTCACGTGTGCTTAGCAGCTTTGATTACCTCCCCGTCCGGATGAGCAGGTGTAATGTAGCTTACCATACGACCAACAACTGAGGCTGCAGAAGTCTGTTGCCTTATCTCTCTTGGTCTCGTCAACATCTACAATGAGGATTCAGGAGCAGAGCAGCCCCCGGGCACGTGTGTGTACGTGTGACAGAGTGAGAAGAGCGATGATAAAAGAGTCTGGCTGCTCGCCCTGTCAGCTTGCGCCATCAAAACTGAATGAACAAACCTGGCACCCTGAGCAGCTTACAAACACAGCAGTTTATCTGCCTGGCTGTTTAAACAGGTAGTGGTTCAGGGCATCACTGTGCCACACAGGGACAAGAATACTGTTGAAGACCAGGCCTGCCAGCGTGTGTGGATACATACACAGATATCTTCTGCTTGTAAATGTTTTTACATGCCAAGCTATTGCATGCTTTTTATTGAATCACCACCCTAGATGTCCAATAAATGATATTTTCAGGAGTAGTATAGTGAGAGAATGCTTTCTTCTATATGATAAATGGTCATTCCCTGTCGCATTAATGGCGACGGGGAATGACTTGCTCCTCCTGTGGACGATCAACTGTAATAATCTCCTGTTTTGAGGGCTGTGATGCCCTCAGTCGGTTTGAAGCTGATCACGATGTGGGGGAAAGGTGAGGGATGCTGGAGGGCACTAATGGACCGCACACTGAGGCCTGGGCGCTCTGAGAGCAAGAGATGTTTGTTCACCTTGTTTTTTTTCCCTTACCTCAACAGCTGTTGCTTTTAGTCACCCACCAAATCAGGCAAACACCTGTTTGTTCACAGGCCTCAGAAAGCGAATTGTGGTGATAGGTGACAGTAGTATTTAAAGCGGAAATGTCGTAAATGGCACATGTTTCTTAAATTTAGCATTCGTTATTATATACTGGCATTCTGCAATTCACATACCCTCCAAGTAGTATATCAGATAAAAGTTATTCAACTTGCATAAACACATTCTGGAAAGTATACACCTGAAAAACAACTAATTTGCATGTCAATGTTTTTATGTTAGCGGGAGCCCACTGTTAAGTGCTACATCAGCACGCTGCTGCTCTGTTAAATCATCTGTATATAATAATAATATCATACCTGACCAATGGACTAATTGGAAACAGTTAAGAACAACACGTGATGGTGATTATTTATTATGTCAAGTACTGGTTCACATCTTTATATGTAAAGAGCAGCATTTATTGAGCTACAGATGTGCAGTTACTGGAAAGGCATGATATACAAATATCTGAATTTCCTATGTAGTCGAGAGCTTGTAGTATGAATTTATAAATCTCATAAAACATGTGAAATTAGACTTTAAATGCACAAAATTAGCATTCACACATCTTTTTAATGTCCATCAGTTGGACTTATTGATTTAACCCAGCACAAAGCCTACTGCTGGAGGTAGTAAAGACATAACTTCATACAGTAACATGATTTACAAAAGTCATTAAATACATTTAGCATCGGTGTCATCTATTCTCAGCAGCAAAGTGGACTTTTTATTTTTGCGGAGGTTTATATTAACAACACTAAAATGTGTCTTCCCTTTAATATTACATCCATTAGACTAAACAGGGGCTGGTAGCAATGTTTGAATTATGTAATGCTTGATCAGTGCAGACCTGAGCAGCTCTCCAGGCAATTACCAAAGTACACAGTCTAACGATTCCCTCATTAATTACAGCGGTGTAGCAAACGCTCTCCATAGGAACATTACTATTGCTCATTTAGCCATGAGCTCGATGGAAAATGCTTTGGATTTATTGATTGTGTAATCACACAAATAGCATTTCTTTGCCTCTGGGTTGTCATTTTTATATAGGAATGTTTGAGGTACAGAACAGATGGTCGAAGAAAAGACACTCAAAGAAAATCAATAGTGCATGGCATTAATTTATGATAGTGCTCCCCATGGAGAGTGCAGTGGTGTCCAGGGAAAACATTGGAACCGCCTACCTGGCTATTTGATTATTGGACACTGGGGTTTACCATGATGAACACACACACACACACAGAGAAGCAGAAAAGCAAGCACCAGACCCAAATGCACGCTTTATCTCTTGGAAAAGCAGAGACAAGCCCACATCAGCTCCATAAAAACTGCTTTGCAATAAAAGCTATTGTCACTTGCCTTCGTTTCTCTGCCCGTGGCCTGATCAAACACACTGTGTGTGTGTGTGTGTGTGTGTGTGTGTTGGCACAGGATGGTACTGTATGAGTGCTTGTTAGAAGCCTGGAAGCTATCAGGATTTGTAATGGGTAATTTACCAGATTCTAGGTGGGTGTGCGTTTACATGTGCGGCCTGCTGGCTGTATTGTATGTGCTGCATGCATTGTGTGTGTGTGTGTGTGTGTGTGTGTGTGTGTGTGTGTGTGTGTGTGTGTGTGTGTGTGTGTGTGTGAGAGAAGCCCTAAACACGACCCAGGGGGCATTAACTCCTCTCCCTTGGTTTTCTCAGAAAACCACTGTGTGACATGGTGAGTGAGGGACATATTTTAAGGTACAATGACTTGAATACGTGTTATGGACAGCAACACACTGTTTTCAACTTTGTACTCACACTAATTATGTTCAATTTAGAAGTTAAACAACATGTACAAAGGGCAGTGTCCCCTCTTAATGGAGAAGAAAGCTTTAAAATGATCAAACATCAAGAAGCACATTTCCAAATAGCCTGTCTGTGCTCAACATGGATTTTTTTTTTTTTTTTTTTTTTTTAAAAGCTCATTACAACAACTCAGGCAAGGAGAGAAGGTATTGTGCCGAATGAAATGTCAATTTGACCTGGCAGATGAAACTGCCTTTGTGTATGTGAATGTTTGTAAAGGTTTCTGGTGCACAACTGAAGGTGTCTGCAGCCAGTTCACTTACTGAGCCTCATTACCTACCATCAGCTCACCTTGTTTGATACGCCTCTACTTTCCCCTCAAACTCAACCTCGGTCAGAACGGTAGAGACTTGTGTAATCTTCAGAACTTGACGGCTCAACTTTTAAAAGGCCGCCCAACACTTTCCCACCACCCCCCTCTACTTGACTCTGTTCTCATCTTCTTTTCAATAGAAACTCCTTTTTACTTATTAAGAGATTACTCACCACTCTGACTACAGCCATGATGACTAATGTAGAATTTGGTGCGGAGGGGACAAATTCAGCCAGGACTCGAAAATATGACTTTCATTATTATCTGAGCATGATGGCTTCATTCCTTACTGTTAGCAGGGATTTCAAAGAAATAAGCTTAAGAGACGTTTACACATCACTCTGGATGAAAGCTATAGGTTAAAGTATAAAATGTAACGATGTAGCATGAGCATAGCATAGCAGGAGTGATTTAAATCTGTAATAAAATAGATGCATAAACATGTGCCATGATTATAAGTATGAGATGTTATGCTGTATGTGTGAAAGTGTCATATTTGTTTCCCCCTAAGTCACAGTCTCGGAGTATCGGTCTCTCAACTTGTAACGGGAAAAGTTTTTAGCAGAAACAAAAGCCACACACCACAGCATTTATAGCCTATATATGCTAATTTGCAACACCTGTATCTGGATGGGGATTTGAAATACATAAAACTTGACAATAATTCCACAAGAGACATAACAAAACACAACATCAACAATAGGTACATACGTTAAAAACACAAAAGTCAGAACCCAACAAGAAAAGGCAGAAAAAACTTCTTGACTAGATGACTGATCAGTCTTCAAAAACAGATTCAGTTTGAATTAAAACTGAGTCACAAGGTCACTTAGCACCGGGAAATATGTTGTATGTGTAAATATAAATATGTGGAGAGTTTAAGATTGGCAATTTTAATAAAATGATCGAAACTACTTACTTAAGAACTGGTCACTTTGCAAATTAAGATTTTAGACACAAAACATATGATCATGTTATTATGAGACATGACGCTTTACTGTAGATTAATTGTCATATGGCTCAAGTGAACTGGCAGCAAGGAAGGTTCAATACCCGAAGAGATGACCAAACGTACGTAATGACACCTGACCTGAGCGCTGACCCTGAACCTCCACCTGCAGCAGGTGAGCTCAAATGTCCCGCTGCTTCAGAACCAGAAAGAATTTAAAGCGACATCTGGCATTTTGGGGCTCAGACAGACCAAAGTCATGTTCTTTCATTACTTGAGGCAACTTAACACATCGCGTCATGAAAAGCGAAACTGCACACAAGGTCAGCGTCTCACCTGCAGGATCAAGCAAAGAGACTGTAACTTTTATATATTTTAGAAGGAGCAATTGTAGCAATTGACCAAAAGTAAGACTATAACTCACTGAAAGTCCCACTTAAAAAGGTATTTAAAAGTAAAATCCAGAATATAACAAAAGCACTTAATAACAGCGTTACTTATCAAAGTGGTCAGACTAATTTGTGACTTTGTACTTACTACTACCTACGAAGGGCACATTTTAAATGTTTTTAAATGGGCTATGATATCAACCACAACGTGAAAATGAATATTTGAACGCATTCACTGCCCAGAGTAATCTTTTAAATCCCACAGAAGTGTTGCATAATGGCCTTGTTTGCATATGTTTAACCTGGGGATGAGAGATTGAGGGAGCGTAGGCGTGCTGCCGACTGTGCTGGTGATAATAGAGAGTGTAGGAGGGAGGGCAAACAGACAGCTATTTGCTGGTCTGTCCTGTCATACATTTTACTGATTTCCCATTACAACCAAAGTGCTCCCCTGTGCATCAAACTAAAGCATCTGAAATGATTTGAAATATATTTGTTGCTGGAAATACTCACTCACAGCAGGCCAAATGTGTATTAATCCGCAGCTGGAAAAAAGTTATGTTTTTGAGGAACGATCACCTGAACTGGACCAGAACTGACTATAGACTGTATTATAGCTTTTCGAACAGGTAGAAAAGCCGTACTAATGGAATATGATACAGAAACTGGTACAGAGAATCACTGCAACCTTTTACAATAAGAGTGCAAATTCTTCCCATCAAATTAACCTCAATAGATAGATTCAGCTTTTTGCCTGTAAATTGACAGTTTGACCAGGAGAAACAAACATGGCCATTATTTCACTGATTAAACCTATTTCAGTCCTGAATGGGAACATAATGAACGGAGAGGAGACACTTTAAAACTAGTATTGGGTCATTTAAAGGTAAAGTAATGAGAATCTATATCAGAAAAGTAGTTTTAGATTTTCTTTTAATCGACTCACACAAGAGAAGGCCTCAAGGCTGTTTAGTCTTGTCCTCAGACTACCCCCGAACACCACTCTATTCACACCATGACTGTGTCACTGGTGAAGAATTACACGTCCTCTTTGTTTAGTACGTCAAACAATAAACACCTTGAATCTCACCCACTGACTGCTGATGTCCTTTAGCATGTTAAATCTTCTGTTGTACTATTGTTGCTCTAGTTAGTGTGGGGGGGGGGGGGGCGAACACAAATCTTATTCAAAAGTGACACATCCAATTATGACGAATTTGGGCCTCGTTTACAACTATGAATCATGTGATGAACTCTACTCATAACAAAAGATACTATGAATAATAAGTTTTAAATGAGGTTATGAAATACAAAACAAAACAAAGCATCCAAAATGAAGTGTTTTTATTCATGAAGAAAAACATAAAAGACCTCCAAAAACAGGAGGTGGTGCATTGGCCAGTATGAGCATCAACAACAAAACATACATTCATCAGGTTCTCTATATGCTGTAGTGATAAAACATACTGTACAACTCATTTCAAGAGAAAACCAAATGTATCAAATATTGTCATCCATTTAACTGCACACGTGTACCATGCATTATTACACATATTCATTTATATGTGACTGAAAAGACAAGCAAACTTGATTGGCACAATTAGATGAAGCACATCTTCGATATACTGTATAAAAGCAACATTACTTTGGTTTATTTGTGGCATAAGCTTTATTAACTTTCTATTTAATTGTGTATTTTGGGGGCAAACTGTCGTATATAAATTCTTCGCGTTGAATGTTATAATATACAGTGAAGTCTTTGTACAGCAATGAAAACAGACTGTATACAAGCTGAGGAAAAGAGAAAAATGATCGCTCACTTTACCCCAATATTATCTCATACATGTATTACTCTAGTCCAAGGAAGATGTGCACGAGAAACCCAGTACAATGACAATGCTGCCATCTAGAGGCAGAACTGAGGTATTTCACCAACACAGCTCTCCAGCTTCCCCGTGAACCTCAAACATCATCTCGCGACAGCGTTGTCCCGTGGCTGCTGTTGTTCTTTTAAGACACAAAGTCGCTTTAAGTTACCAGGCGGTATCATGAGTCCTCTTCATTGTGGAAGAAGACGTAGTAGAAGAGAGCGCTGACGACCAGCAGAGCGACTGACAGCAGCATGTTCCTCCGATTCTCTCCTCTCAACGTCTCCAGCTCCTTGTCTGGAAATGACAAACACAATTTGATTTGAGGGCACTTATGTGTACCGGCTATCAGTTTGATTAACTATGAAATGAAGGGGAACAAAACCTGCAATTGCTCTGCTGGTGAAATATTGCAGCAATGGCAGACTACATGTAGAGTTAAAGACTATAATAATATCAAGCAGGGCCTTCCTGTGACTGACTGATTGAGTCCTTCCTGATTTCTAAATGATGTTTATCTGAATTTTAAGTGTGTGGTCACATACGTTGTAAATGGACTGCAATCAATCTCACTAGTATTCAGAATTGTCCCGCTCATTCATAAATGATGCCCAGTGCCTTGGTCATTGGAAGCAGTTTTGGGTTCAGTCACAGCAGAGGTATATATCATGATGTCCATATTGTAAAATATATCTTGTATATACCTGCAGTGACTTTGTGGATATAGACTTACCCAACTTCAGCACTCTCTCATTAATGATCGTCATCTCATCCTCCAGGTCGTGCCTGTGGAGCAGAGAGGATGAGACCAGTGAGGAAGTTATTCATTATGTATCCTGTAAGTCACTACCTGCAGCAGCATCATCATCATCATCCTCACTTGTCATTGTCAGAGAGCTTCTCTTTCCTGCCCTTGAACTCAGCCCGCTCCAGGTTGTCCTTGCAGCGCGCACGGCGCTCCTCCAAACGGTCGATCTACAATATGTACAGGTTAGATATAAGGTTATAACAGCAAACCATAGTTCAGCTATTACACAACATTAATAACCGACAGGTCAGTGTATGCATGTATGAGCTAATCTATCAGACAGCCAGCTGAAGGCTTCCAAAGTCTTACCTCAGTGGCGACACTAAATTTTTCTCTCCGTTTGTCTTTCAATTTAGCCATTTTTGTGACAGAAACTGCTGCAGGCTCCCGGCTGATAAACTGTGACGGTGCGGAAGTCATTTTCTTCTTCGTTCTTCTTCAGTTCTTCCTTTTTGGCACATCTCCTTGAAGGGCTTTGCTGCCCTCTATCTGAATGCATCAACGTCAACATTAAATTCATTATAGCCTACATTCAATGGCATACCATTCACAAATGGTTAACGAGACTTGTGTGAGTGTGTGTTGAAGTTGTGTCCTTCTGCAGCAACTTGGACAATGTTCACATTAAAACAATCAGGGCCAAATTGAATTGTCTCTTTCAATTAGGAATACCGGGGGGGGGGGGGGGGTTAGACTTCATTCCACTTTCAGAAGATACCAAAAATGATCATATAACCATTATAATAAAAATATTGCCATCAAGAACAGCCTGCAGAAGCGACCGGAAACTGTCATCCTCCCCCCCCACTGAGATGCAGACAGGTGAGTGTTGTCGCGAGCTGTTGTTGGCCGTTGTTAAGTGGATTATTCCACTTGACAGGACACGGCTTGATCATCTCTGAAGGAAAGATACGAGGGTATCCGTTCTCTTCTCTACGAGCGTATTCTTCTTTGAGGAAAAAAATGCCTCTCTTTATAAACCGGGACCAAATATTTGCGCATCAGGTACACCTGCTGGAGCACAAACTGAGGGTAAATCACTGCTAGAGTGTAATTCCAAACGTGAGATTAGTTTATTAGAGATTGTTCGGGGACTTGTGCTGTAGTTTAGCCATTTATGATTTCAAAAATAACTCCACACACCAAACCCAGCTTGTTTGTAATATTTCACTGTGTTTTCAGAGAAAAGAGGAGCGAATACTGGAACTGGAAACAGAGAATGCTATTCTCCATTTAAGACTTGCCGAGGTAATAAGATGCCTGCCATTCATTACTTACAGGGTTAAACCTTTAAGGCCTATGGAAATCCCTGATCATTATCTATTCTATTCTATCTATTCTATTATATACTGATTGATGGGGATTGTTCTATTCTATTTATTCCTTGACCTCCTGAGTTGCTGAAGAAGTCTTTTGTATGAATGACTGTTTTATCTGTACTGATTTTGTGCCACTTGGCTTGAATTCAAAAGTTTGTTTCCACCTCGGTGACTGCAGAGTTGGATCATGTGATGTAATAATCAGAGCGGCTCACTCTGTATTTGATTGTAATTATCGCTATGTGGAACCAAAGATTCTAGTGGACGGTGGAGATCAGCTGAGCCTGAATGGTCATGTGTCCCCTTTATACTGTACAGTATGTTCCTGTTATATTATGAGAATATGGACACAAAAAAAATCATCTCAGTAGACTGTGCCTTTAGGTGTTCAATGCCAACACTTCAACACAGACTAGTCATAAGCAAGCAACTAGTATTACTCAAAATAATATGTTTAATTGGGTTTTATAGGCCCTTTGTCATAGCAGAAAAAGCAGATGTGTAATAAATGACAATAATATAGAGTGCCGGTTCCAGGGTCCTGATATTGTGCACATTGTTGGAACAGATAATAGTGAATGTCAATACGGTTGTTGATTACGCCTGGGCTGTTTAAGATCTGGCAATCAAAATGCTAATGCTGATCTGAGCAGATTCACTTGCTGTGCAGCATTTAAAGTCGAATGGTTTAATGCTGTTCATTACTGTAAATTCACTCGCTATAGAACGAGTAAGTAGTCCCTGATAATTCAAAACAGGATGCGACACCGATGAATAACACAATGGCAGATCATTTAGCATCAGAGCTGTTGCTGTACAGGTTTTAGGACGATTGTTCCCACAACATTTGTTGTGTGCATTCTATGTTCTTAACTTCTTAACAGTTGACAAACAAATTAGCTTCTCAAAAACGTATGCAACGTGTTCAAATTTTGATCAATTCATTTACTTGATACATGTTGTGGATAATCAACAAGTCATACTGTAGCTTGGCATAAAGTATGAATGAAGTGGCACAGTGGTGCAGAATAAGTATATTGATTTTGCATCCTTTTCAGTGTTTGGGGAAACTCCGTCGGGACCATGAAGAGGAGACCCGGAACCATCATCAGCACCAGACGAACGCTCAGAAGATAACCCGGTCGTCCCTTACCAAACTCCTCGCTGAGGTCCAGGTACAAATGCACTGAGATGAATGTTGCGTGTGTAAATGGTAGGTTGTGATTTGCCTTTGTTTAGATGTTTCACTAAATAGCAACCAAAGTAAAGAAAGAGAAGTAGTGTGGAGACTCAGAAAGACACACAACAGTCAAACAGCAGACACACACACACACACACACACACACACACATACTCTCACAGAGCCCCACACAATTCATTTGTCCTCTCTGTGTGTTTGTTGCAGGCTGTGAAGCAGGACTTGAGTGAACTTTTCGCAGTGTATTTCACTTTTTCCAGTGAGCTGGAGGAGCAGAGCAAGCAGCTGCTGGAAAAAGTAGAGCAAGCCAGCTGTTCTCCGACTGGTCACAGTGGAGACGAGGTTCACAGTGAGTATCAGAGTGTGACGCACCATAGGTTAACATAGATGCAGCGTCTCTGACATCATCCTTAGCTTATGATTCTGAAGGAACATGTTTTAAGAATACTATGTCACTTTTTACAGGAGCAGTTCATCAAAGTTTACATATTAACACAATATATACACAATTAACTTATTATCCTTAATAGAGTCTGCACCAGCACTCAGCTTTTATGTGCTACTCAGTTTACTCAGGTGCTGCCAAGTCTTATAAACCACAGAGGAGGTTTCAAACTGTCAGACGTTATTTCAATGATCTTTGAAGACATTATTTAAAGGATCATTTTTTGATCCCTCCTTCCCGGTATCACATTTTCTTCCTCTCTCTCTTCTCTTCACGTCTATGTTGTGCTCCCTCGTTCACCCTCTCTGTGTCTCTCTCCACTCTTAAGTGGTTTACAGGTTATGCGCTGGCTGTATCTTGATTAGGCTCTGTTTTCTGGTAATCCTCTCACACTGTCCCTCCCATCTTCTCTCTCACACCGCCCTTCGAGGTTGTCCAAGGTTGACTTGTTCTAATGCAGCCCTGCAAGTCAGCTACTCACCACGGCTCTGATGATTGGTTGAAACAGATCTTCCTGAGTACATGCTATAATGCTGCCATTTCCACATCCCCTTATATTATCTTGTAAAGATAAACCAACCATTTAGAAGAGATATACGTTTGATAAATGACAACTTTGTTTTATGTACGTGTTATTGAAAACATATACACATGTTAAATACTTCAAAATTACAACAAATAAATGCATTCAGGAGGAGTTAACAGGCTTTCTTATTCTTGTCATTTCCTCTCATCAGTAAATTGTGCTAGCCTTTAATATTATATTTAATGATATAAATACGCTACAATTATCGGAACAGTATGAATATTCAGGTTCCTCTTTTGGCTCAAAGGGTTACTGCAGATATAAATGTTAACTAAAAGACAATGGAAGAAATTCTGCAAATGTATTTGGCGACCCTAATCAAATGTCCTGTGACCCACCTGTGGATGTGCCGTTCTTATGTTTGTAACACATGTTTATGAAACTATGATTGTCGACACAGCAACAGAACACAGAAACAGTTTTATGTTCTTGTCTCATGAAACTTAAGTTTGCTGGGAACATGCCAAAAAAATAAACCAATGAATAAATAACTTACAGGTTCACACAAACAGTTAATGATCTAAAGGCTTAAAAGTACAGACTATTTTACAATGAAAGAAGACATTTGAGCTGTTTTGTTACTGATAGGAGGAATTTCGAGGACATTTTATGTTTCAAATAATCTTTAAACACAAAAAAATCCCTCTACAATATTCTGCTCTATTTATGTTCAACCAAGTCTATTCTTGAATGTCTCAGCCTGTCCTGAGTGAATGGAGTTGTTTGGTGCCAGGTGTGTGTATGTACTTGTGTGCTCCAGGTTTAAAGACATGGCCTGGATTCAAAGATTTACACCAGAGAACAGATGCCTCTGGCTTTGGAGTTGATTTCTACAAAGACAACAATTCTTTCATCCACCTTACTGCCTTAAAATAGATTGAGCTACAATTTTCCTTTACTGCACCAAATTGGCCACAGAATCGAACCCGGTTGTTCACGATGTCTAACGCAGCACAGAAGCCAGTGGAGGTCTTGTTTGGTCATTGTCTCAACATGCTAGCACCAACGGCTTAACCTTTAACCTCAGCCCATGAATAGAAAATTGATTGTACTTTTTTTTCCTTTAAACTATCTTTCTGCCCTCCCTGCCCAGATTTGCAAGCTGGTGTTGCAGCTCTGGAGCGCTCTCTGGAGGAGGAGAGGGAGAGGTGCAGGGCAGAGAGGCAGCGAAGGAAAGAACTCCACAACGCACTGGTGGTGAGGACAGATTTGAAGTGGCAGAAAATAATGGGCGACACAGCAGGTTCTGATATTGACCTACATTGTCATTCTTTGTTTTGCTACAGGAGTTGAGAGGGAACATCAGAGTTCACTGCAGGGTGCGACCACTTCTACCCTTTGACCACGTCCAGTCCTCCACGTCTGGATCAAGGTGGGTCAACACATGATCCATCATGGCAACATGAATTGCTGTAAGATAACATGGGTTTGAGTTGTACTGTGCTTGAAAAGCTATGCTTTCCTCTATCAGGCCTATGTCATCAGAAGAAGTGGTCTCTGCGATCAGTGATGTGAGTTCCAGAGACTCTTAGAATTTATTTTATCTTATTGCTGCTAGCTGCTTCAGTGTCCTCACTTTGTTGTGTTATTCCCCTTTTGTTGTTTTAAGGACACGGTGATGGTCAATTGCATAAAAACGGGGATGCCGGTGCAAAACAAGATGTTTGAGTTTGAGAGGTACAATCAAACATTCGCATTGTTCACACACATTAGTCCGTTTAATTTTCAGTTCATTAATGAGCACTCTGTGTTTCCTCCAGAGTGCACGGACCGGAGGATTCACAGGAGGCCGTGTTTCAGGAAGTCAAGCCGCTCCTCACTTCTCTGATGGACGGGTGAGCATGAAAGCAGACAACAAAAGGACGATATCTAATCACATGCCATTCAAATGTATTCATTCAACTATATACATTAAACACTACCCAGTGTGAATGAAGAAGAAACAATTAAATACATGACAAACAGCATAATATGACTGCATGGCTTCAGCATATATTGAATGTTAGTTATCTCTCTCTCTACCCTGCAGCTATAACGTGTGTATCATGGCATACGGGCAGACAGGCAGTGGGAAGACTCACACCATGATGGGATCCCAGCTGCTGGAGGAGCACTCAGGGCCGCAGCAGGAGGCACAGCAGGGTATTATCCCCAAGGCTGCTGCTGAGCTGTTTCGGTGAGAAAGAAATACATTTTTTATTCATTTGTTTTTGTGATATTTACAGTCCGTAATGACTAAACTCTGCAAGAAGTAAATGTATTAAATATTCAGCCTATGAATTCATAATGTGCTCTGAGAGTCGAAATAGAATATAATTGGGTTGAACTTTAATCTTTTCTTTATTTGTCCATGGTTGTGTATCTGTTTCTGTGTGTGTGTGTGTGTGTGTGTGTGTGTGTGTGTGTGTGAGACGCAGGCTGATCTCGGAGAAGCCCGCAGAGAGCCTCACGGTGGAGGTATCAGTGATGGAGGTGCATAACAACGAGGTGCTTGACCTTCTGGCGAGAGATGCGCAGGGCAACGGTGCCGACCAGCGCCGGGACGTCATCACCACCTCCTCTGGTACCAGCCAGGTCACCTCCCTCACACATGAGTGAGTACAGCCGGAGCGAGGTGACTGTGTGCAGAAAAATGAAAAACGCCTCAAATTCTGTGTAATGGGAAAGGGGTCGATTGTAGTAAAGAACCCAAGAGAATTATGTTCTCAGATATGTTTCTCAAAAGTTAGTTGGTGACGTAAACTGAGCTAACAGACGTCCTAACTTTCTTAAAGTGGCCAGAATATGTGTTTCATATGTTTTACAGGCCTGTGCATAATGCCTCTGAGGTGATGCAGATTATCAGCAGTGTTTTAAAGCTCAGGGCTCACTGTCCCACCCTCGTCCACACCGACTCCTCGCGCTCTCACCTCATTGTCGCCCTCACGATTTCCTCCAAGAGCCCCAACGCTCTGGCCCTGGGTGAGACGCATTCATACACAGACTCACACTATAGCATAAATGGCGCCCGTTGGCCACACGTTCCCGCATTGTGACTTTATTACTCTTTCTTTTAGCCCGCAAGCTACAAAGTGCCAAGAAGGACATGCAGCGCTCCACTAAGAAGGTGTGGTGGAGTCCACGCTGTAGCCGTGCCAACCCTGCTGCCCACCACTCATCTGATGATCATCTCTTCGCGAGCACACCCTCATCTCCCTGCCGCTCCCCTTCCCAATCTCCATGTCCCTCCCCCAGGCCCAGCATCTCTCAGGCTTCTTTCAGGACCAAGCTGCAGCTGGTGGACCTGGCAGGGAGCGAGTGTGTCGGTGAGAGGGGCTCAATGCTTAACGACGTTGTTTGAGTTTGCAGTTGTCATGGGAACTTTGGTTCCTGAATTTCTTGCACTAGGCAATGTTATAACTGAAAAATATACCCAGAATTGCAAGATGGGGCTTTAGGCATATGCTTAGTTAAGATGCTTACAACTTGGTGTTACTTTTAGCTGAATAGGCTGCTTGGTGTAGATTAAAACAATCAACTCAAACTCAAATACAGCTTGTTTCTATTTTCTGTATGAAATATCAAATGATTAATCTACGGATAAAGGTTCACAGTACAGACAAAGCTGAAGATGCAGGTCTTTGTTTTTTACCTTTAATAACCTTTATGTACACATGCAAAAGGTCACTGAACCCAATACAACCAGTGCCTGTTCACTTAGCAGATAAATGAGCTTTAGGGCAAATGAATGTGTGTTTGTATGTTTGTACCAGGTATGTCTGGAGTTTCGGGTGCCGCTCTGTGGGAGGTGTCCTGTATAAACCGCAGTCTCTCTGCTCTGTCTGATGTCCTGGGAGCTCTGGCCGAGCAGAGGCCACACGTCCCCTACAGGAACAGCAAACTCACTCATCTGTTGCAGGATGCCATAGGTGAGGTGCGCACACACACACACACCCTCTCTTTTATATGATGTCTCTCATGTCTGCTTTCCATGGGAATGACTCGTTCAAACTCAAAATGTCTTCATCTAGCTGAGAGATTCAACATACCAGTATGGTAACCCTATCTCTAGCATACACACATGTAAACATACCCAAACATACTCAAAATACTCTGGAAGATGTATTTGTCCATGCCCAATAATGAAAAGAGCAACAAAAGTACAATGCATGTAATTAAATGTAATCTTTTGCCTTATTGTTTAAGATCTCAGGCTTGAATCTCCTCTTGTCCTTCTCCGCCAGGTGGCGATGCCAAGCTGCTGGTGATGCTGTGTGTCTCTCCCACGCAGCGCTTCATCACCGAGTCGCTGCAGTCTCTGGGCTTTGGCATGCGGGCCCGCCAGGTCCAGAAGGAGCTACCGCGAAGGAAGAATAACATCCTCAAAGTTAAGTGATGAAACAGAGAAGAGATTTCATTATTTGCAGATGCTGCGGCAACATAGATCCTGTAACAATCATGCCAACAAAACAGATTTGAGGGTATAATTGTTATCATGCTATTTCTCTGTGTTAGAGACGCCCTTCTTACTCTTAGTAGGTACTTTAAGTAGAAAATAGATGGATGTTGCCAGAAGTGTTATATATTCTGTCTTTAAATAGATCTTGGTAGCATTAAATGTCTTATCTGAAGCCACAAATACTTCTGTGTTTCTTGAATGCAAAACACATTAATAATGTGTAAATAACCTTGACAATTACCAAGCGTGCTAAGTAGTTATGACTGAATTACACAAAGGTTACGTAATGATAACTCAATTTAGTATGAAATCTTGGTATTTCGACTTTAATTTTTAATTTCCACTTTAATTTAGCTGTAGATGAAGTCAATAGTCTACAGTCCTGTATCATGCAAAGGCTCTCTGACTGAAGTACTCTTACATGTATTCTGCTGTAAAACATGCATACCATGCCTTCTCTTTTTTTTTAGTGTTTTAGGTGTAGTTATGTTCTTACAGTACTTCTACTCATATTGATGTATTCTGTATCTGTAACCATCACCTTTCTTTTTGGTTACACATTATAAATCTTTCAAACGCCTTGATAGAATAGTCTCAGTAGATAAACGTTGTCAAACTCTAAAATAAACAGCTGATGTGCAGATCATTCGTATTTTTGTGTATCAGTCTGTTCCAGAAAAATGTATTGCAATACATATTGTCATAAGGGAATTAAAACAGTGTTTGAATAATACATAGTGCAGCCCCTTTAAAAATAAACTATTCATATAAAGTGTATGCTCACAACAGGCTTTCCACTGTGGGGGGTTGTTCCAATAAGATGTCTGCCGCTGTGTAGATTACAGCAAGGAGGAACACATACAATCACTTTAGCATTGGGGCAAGATGGTATTTAGCTTTTCTTTTACCATGAATTATTTGGAGGTATAAGTATATTTCAAGCGAGGAGTTGTAAAATGTATTGTCCAATGTGGCAAAAACCCATCAGGATGATATTACGGTACACCAGCTAATGATTATTTGCAAAAGCTATTTCAGGTCTGTTGACTGCAGTTTAATGTTGGGGGTAAACAAGACAGGCAATTTCCTCCAAGGTGTAACAGTTGGACATCTTCCAAGCATGAATAGAATAACTCACTGTACACACACTTTTGATAAGCCTCCTCCTATCAGGATGCTGCCAACTGCGACGAGAGCTCCGCACAATGTATTGAAGTTACAATCCACACGGAACCAAAGCTGACATGTTTTTGAGGCGCGGGTGTCATGTGCCACCGTGACATGAAAGCTCAAATGCCCCAAAGCGTCTTTGAAACCGCAGGCTTAGAGGACAAAGTGACGGGACAAAAAAACAAAAACAAGATTATAACAAGAGTGACAAGATAATAAACATGAAAAGTTCAGGAGCATCCTCTGTTTAGACAGACAACTGGGAACAAAGAGACACAGGAGAGGAGAGGTGAGGAGAAAAGCTGAAGAAAGACGAGTGTAAGTGATAATGAAATGGGGGGAACACAGAAACAGGAGGAGGTGAGAGTGAAAGTGTGAACTTCTATTGTTAACCTTCATTCTTTATTTACATCTGACAAACAATATCTGAGATGTCTGTCATGATGGTTCTTCTCCTCAACAGGTCCAGATGTGGATCATTAGGAAAAACAAACCTCAGATAAACTCCAGGGCCCTGTTCTTGATACATGGATAAGATTTGATTGTTAATGATTTGACACTGTTCAGTTATTTAAAACTGGCTTACAATGAATCCGGATTACGGCCAAGACCTTTTAACGTGAACCCTCATATACGAACCTCATTTTCAGATACAAATGACCTCCTTTCTTAATGACTTAATGAGTAACCAGTACAATCTCTTGGTGCGAAATAAAAACAGAGGGTGAAATACCTCTACACGATAACGTTCACATTATAAATAGTTCAAATAGAAACGACTAAAAGTTTCTGATGTTTGAAAGAAAAATGGATTTAGAAAACAGCTAACTTGGTTCTTTAATTGCAGTTTAAGGTTTCATTTGTTAGTGTTGGATACGTTATCTTCTAATAACAGCCATATGATTGTACTTATGATTGACAGACAACACATCTTTACTGCAGCTGCACAGTAGTTAGGAGTCGGGACGCCCTGTCAGCTGAATGGTAAAATACCAGGAAATAAAGCTGATGAACTATTTTATACATTCTAACTGAGATGAAACCTGACAGATTTTCTCATGAAGCAGATACATATCCAGCAATCAATCATGCTTATGATTTCATACTAAATAAAACCAACTCAAACTGATCTGGAATAATTTTATTGTTTCAATCCAACTGTATAGACAGATGATGTCATAGATTACACCACAAATCCCCATAAAACTGTCATTGTTTATTTCTATGATTTCTGGTTGCATTAGTCTAATAATAATCCGAAATATTAAGTGAAACAGATGTCTTTTGTTCCTAGTACCCCAAACTAAACCAGGATTTTTTTAAATTTTTTTTTTATTTAACAGATTTTTGTTGCTTTTTAGCTTTCTAGATATTTACTTTCTTAATAATTTGCTTTGTTTCTTGGTCATGATTCATCTTACTGTGTACAAGCAGGGCTCAGCCCAACAATAACAAACCCATACCAGTTAGGGCTGAAACATAAACATTAGGTTTTTATTAATTCAAGCAAACTGTTACAGTCAACAGTTACATAAGTTACATGGTATACCGTATTGATGTAATCGTCTTTTTTAAACCAGGGTTTCTGTCCCTCTCTTCGCCCCCCCAAACATAGAAACAGCAAATCCATACAAGCGCAGGCAAGTAAGTAGTAACGGCACAATACATTCATCAACTCAACGATATGTTTTGTACGAACAATAAGGCAAGTAGAAGAAAGAACGAACAAACAAACAAACAGAAAAGGATGGCAGACATTTTCTTTGAAATGAGCCAAAACAAGGCATAATGTATTCTTCTTTCAGGCCTGCAAAGGCGGTATCACATACTATGTCTTCTTTTGAACACCGTTTGCTGCTTTAGAACCAAACGAGGTAAGGCTTCTCGTTAGTGGGCAGGTGGGGAAACTGAGGGAAGAGCTGCCTTCAGTGGTGTTGAGTGGTTTGTATCTGGTGCTGGTCAGACTCTCATTATCACGGGTATCCTTCTCAAAATTCAAAGTTTTCCTCAGCACACCCGAGTATTCATCAGGGACAATAAGAGAGGCAGGAAATCTGATGTACACCTACAGCATCTAATCACTTCCAGTGTCCATTTCTATGGCAGAGAACTTGAGAAAAGGATGGGAGCTCAGTATGCAAAAATATAACCAATGGCTCAGCGATTACCTCTGACATTGCCTGATGTCAACATGAGCATCCTAAGAACCTGGACAGACAAAAAGCTCAATCTCTCGGCATACATTTCCCTGGGGTAAGAGTTAGTTGTAAGTGGATGGATATGCACACGTGTGGCCAAAAGCAGACATATGATTCCCCTTCTTCAATTTCAACCATACAGCAATCGTCACATGACATACCAACACAATCTTTTGCTTGTTCCGAGTGGTAAAGTCAGTCCTGATAACAAGAGAGAAAACAAAAAGGACAACCCAGCTGGTGGGTACTACTACTGTTCATGTAGTGGTCAGTATCAACAACTACTGGCCCATTAAAACTGCAAATGTTTCAGCAGAAAAAGGTAAATGAAAGACTGTAAAATAAAACAGCATTCATTCAGCCACCAGGTGGAAAAACGGTGCTGAAGAACTAAGGATAAATGCAACATGCCTTCATTTATTCCTTCTTTTTTTTTTTTACATCGACGTACAGATAAGAAAGATAAAACAAGTGGTTCCTCAAAAAAAAAGTTATTTCCATTTATAACAATAGTAAACATGGGGGATTTCATCACTAGAAATCCAGAAGAAACAAGGTCATGTGGTAGTGCAGAAAAGAATAAATGCAAAAACTTCTCTTGGACACTTGAACACTAGAAAGACTGACGAGGGGCCACGTGGAGATTCTCCTCTGAAACACAAACCACGAGACAAAAAAAAAAAGTTTGACAGAGGAAAAGTGGGCAACATCGATGTTTCACTTCTTTCCAGAGTAGAAAGGTCTCTTTGATGACGAGGTGTGGAGTGCAGGTTATTTTTTGGGGGGGGGGGGGGGGCACCCGAACACATTTGTCCCTTGCTGCTTTTTTTTCCTCTCTCTTCCATCTCTCTGATCGTCATCACTCCATCCAGTCTCCTTCGTCAAACTCTGACTCGTCCTCGGAGTCTGAGTACTCCACAGCGATGCGGCGTGACAGGATGGTGGCCACATCATTGCCAACGCGCTCGTGCTTAGCCTCTTGCTCTCGCTGCTCCTCCACTTTCCGCAGCTGTATGCCTGAAAGAAGCAGTAACAGAAAGCAGGGAAAGTTTAGGATCACGTACTGTGGGGTCTTCACATGGCTTGTTTTGTCTAACCAGCAGCTCAAAACCCAAATATATTCAATTTACTATGAAATCAGCAGATATTCAAATTTCAGAAGCTGTGACAAGTGAATTTTGGGCATTATTGCATTTTTCAGCTGTAACTTTATAGATCTTAATAAAAAGCATACAAGTGTGTGCTTTGTCCAGAGAAAACACGACTCGTCCCTGCTGGCTGGGGAAGTTTCAAACATTTCTAGTAAAACTCGACCCACCTTTTCTGATAGCTTCCAACAGGACGCTGCGTGCATCGCTGATGGGGGGCAGATTGGCTGGATGGTGCCTCTTGCTCCCCACATCGTGAAAGCTGTGGGGCGGCGGGGAGGCCATGGCTCCTGCTGAGGGGAAGGCCGGCACAGGTGGCGGGCCTGAGGGACAGGGCGAAGAGCTCCGTGCTCCGGGGTGGGGCAGAGGAGGAGGCGGCGGGGGAGGAGGCAGGATGCTGCCGTCCGACTGGGTCCCAGAGCCCATGGGTGGGCCCCTGTCCAGGACCTGCTGGAGACGGGCCGGGGAGCAGTGAAGGGGAGGCGCCACGGGCGGAGGGGCCGGGTGGAGCACCCCCGGGGCGATCTGGAGAGGAGCAGGCGGGGGCGGGATAGCCGGGGGATACTGCTGGACTGGTAGAGGAGGAATGGGAGGAGGAGGAGTGCCCCGCAGGCCTGTGGAGGGTAACGGGGGAGGTGGAGGGGGGAGAGGGGGAGGCGGCGGAGGAGGAGTGTTGGAGTTGAAGCCTGCTGTCCGGGCTGGAGACTGGGGTCTGCTGTCGGAAAAACCCGAACTGGAACTAGAAGGATGAAGAGAGAGGAAAAAAAGAGAAGGAGGTTATGATGGGGAAATAGACCGCTAAAAAGTGAGAGGGACAAAAAGTTGAAATGTTAAAGAGTGCATATGAAGATCCATGGTTGTTGTGCCTTGTTCAATAAAAATCTAAAATTAAGAGCCTTAGTTCACACGATCAATGATTTTTTTTTTTTGAGTGGAACAATGTGCAGCTGTGCATCAGTCTCAAATAATATGTTGAGTATTTCCTCCGAGTGCTGCATGAACTATGGGGTAAAGTGAGAAAATTTCGATGTCGAATACGATGAGAGTTACTTATAAAAGGAAGAAACAGCAAGAACCAAAAGGTCAGACTGAAAAGTAGAAGTAAACCAAAAGAAAAAGAATGTAAAGAATGCTGTAAAGAATTTGCTAGTAAGAGGAGAAGATATAGCTGCAAGGACCTCTGTAAACAAATCAATGAGATATTTCTCAGGTGCTGCAGCCACAGCCTTAAATCATTCACTCTGATCTCTCCATCCCCTTCAAACAGTGACATATGCGGCAGGCAAAAGTGCGCTGCCGAAAAACAACCTGTAATACGCTCAGTGGCCTTAACGCTGTATTGATCCTGCCCTGCTCCGAGCCTTTTGCTTTTTTTTTCTTCCTTCAGCTCTGATACACAAAACCTCCATCTTTCCTTCCATCCCTTCTTCTTCTCTGTGTTGCTCTGCTGAGCTCTAACAGAGCGAAAAATCCTCGTCCTCTCAAAAAGAAAAGTAATGAAATGCCACTCACTTCGACCAACTGGTCCATAACAAGAAGAAAAAAAGAGAGAAAACAAACAAACAAGCAAACCAAATAGATGGGGATGGGATTGCAATTTTTTGTGTGTGCGTGTGTGTATGTGTGTGTGCTCGTGAACCTGACACAGTTTACACTTGAATCTGATGGGGGCGCCAGATGAGCAGGATTAACTTTACAACTTCCAGGCAAGCAAATGTGAGTGAGCGCCTATCACTTTTTGCAATTGCTTTGCAAAACCCATAAAAACACCCTATGAAAGGTTTTCCGATGGGACAAAAAACTGAGGTGTCGTCTCCTGTCCCACCTGATCACAGAGGGTGGCTTGATCTCTCCCAGTGGGTGCATGAGAGGTGGAGGCGGTGGAGGGTCGTGGGGCCGTGAATACATTCTGTCCCCAGTACGGTTCAGCAGCTCGTTCATCTGGATGTAGGGCAGCGCCGCCAGCGAGAAGGGCCCGTCCAAATGTTCCAAGTACAAGGGAGCCCTGAGCAGAGAGACATGTTGTCCTTAACTCACAGTTTGTGTGGTTCCCCTTCGAATTTCCCTCGCTATATTTTGTTTTTATTTTGTTTCAAGAAATAGACATTCTGGCTATGACTACTGCTCATGCTACATATAGCATAGATCCAGTTCTCCCAAGCATTTTATCTTAAGAAAGAAACAAAAAAATCTTGCATCCTGTTGATTTACAATGTCTCGGCCCTCATCTTCTTGAGGTAAATTTCTTTCATATTGTACCTGATGAAGATCTGAGTGACTGAGAGTGTGAGATTGTTCATCCGACGCGCATCTATGAGTCTTTGCGGTGGCCTCTAACAATCAAAACGATGTCTACTCGTGAGCCCTCGTCACACATCTTTACTGGACATGTCAAGAAGTGGAGAGCGGTTCCACCAAAGAATGTCTTTTTCCCCTCATGAGCTTTCTAGATTTATTGGAATTGTGTTCAGAGGTTTGAAGAGATAGATGCAAAGATGCAAAAAAAAAAGTATTTAAAACAAAGAACGTTCTGATTTTTCTTCCTCCTTATCCTGTAAATCATCTTACAGGCTGAAGATGATCTAGCAACAGGTTTGGGAACTATTATCATCGATGTCTTCTTACTCCTGATCATAAAATGTGTAAAAATAAACAAAATAAAACATCTTTTCATGATGAATCCTGTATTTATAAAAGCAAGGTTGAGGGTTGGAGGTAATTCGGAAACGTGTTTCAAGCTTGTTGAGATCTGTTTGTGAGAATTAATTCGATTAAAATCTACACTTTGAACTGTCATATGAAAATAAAGATGACATGATGTTTTTTTCTCAGTGAGTCTGTGGACGCAGCTGATCTTGATATTTGAACACATGAAAAATAAATGAAATACAGGAAGTAGAATCCTATGAGGCTCTATCAAACTCTACTGTGGCTCAGGTCAAGGCTAAAAATCCTTTACTTACTCAACGACAATTACAGTTAATCTGTTTCTTTCTGTATCTTGCACCAGTTTTGTATATTTTGTTATTTATGAGCAGAAATGTAAATGTGCCTCTGCTTCAATTATAATTCAGACGATGCTTCGTCAGTACTGCTGGGCCGCTTTCATGGTCCAGAGGAGTGTGTTCATCACACTCTGTGGCTATTTGGTGACAAATCAAGCAGCATGCATTCAACAACCATCTATATGTGCTGACACTGCGGTATACTTCCTCATCAATACTTGGAGAAAAGACTTCTTGTCAGCTATTCATGGCACTGACAAATCAGAAAACAACCACTTTGCATAAAATCTGTTTTTATTGATCACATTGACTGTCAGAGGAATTATTAAATGGGCACGTGGAGCTTTGAGGCACAATAAACACAGTCTCAACTGTGAGGAACTTTAATTGTAGCTGAAGTGTGAATTGCAAGAGCTTGTTCTCTGTTAAGTGGGCACAATTTATTATTTTTGTAGATTATATCCTGCTGACAAAGTCTTTCTGAAGCTCACTATGCTGTATTTCCATGCTTAAGTCCTAACAGGCTAAGTAGCCTTGACTTTCCTAGTTTAAGAAATTGTAATTGCATGCCTGAAAGTAGACCTAAATGTTTGTCTCTTAACTTTTGGTCTTGTAGTTACAACCAGTTTTTTCCGCTCTGAGATGTGTGACGAAGACTGGACCGCCACCTTCACATACCTGTTATCGTGGTAACCTGCAGATCCGTTGGCCTCTCTGTGTTTGTCGTCAGGTATGTCCTGGGCGAGCTCTGCGCCCAGTGCCAGTTTCTGCCACTCCTTCTTACGATCGTGAGGCAACCGCGGTATCTTCTCGGCCTCCTGCGGGCGGTCTATCGCCTTCATCTTTGGTAAGGAAGGGTGATGGTATTGGTTCGGGAAGAGGCAGATTAGGAGATGATGAGAATGAAATTGGGGGACGAATGCGTAAGAGATGGTTTGTGGATGGAGAAAAAGAAACGGAGGCGAGCGGGAAAGAGACAAAAGATAATAGATTATTACTGTTCAGACACACATTTTAAACACACATATATATTGTCCACTCTGGAAATTGACACTATTTTCTGATGTGCCATGTTTATTTAACTGTACATGCGCCACATACATATCCATATACCAACTCCTCCCTCTTAAACAATTCACCCTCATTTTAGATAGCACGCTTCTTTCAAAAATAACTTTCTATCTGTCCTAAACTAGGTGATTTCAAATAATCAAACAGTACTGAATTAGCTCTCTGAAGAGAGAAATCACACACACATTTAAGGAAACACTGTCGTACAAGCTTGGGAACTGGGAGTGCTCATTGACGGACTTGGGCCAAATGAAGTTATCATGCAAGTATATATTTTTACTGAAGCATGAAACTCACAATATGAAAACGTTTTTACATATTTCCCTTAGGTTCATCAACAAACAGCACTCCCTGCCACCCAGACTTCAGCATGACTGACTCAACACACACACACACACACACGCACACGCACACGCACACACACACACACACACACACACACACAGTGGTAAAGAAACTGAGCAGCGAGCTGCTGTAGCAGAAATCACACACAGTGTTTTGAAATAAATCTCTATATTTTCACATACCTGCCCTGGAAGGTCTAAGTACCTGTAGACCTGATCATACATGCGGGGATCCTGCAACTATAAGAACAAAAACAAAAACCACAGGAGAAGCACCGGGGTCAAAAAATCAACACGGCACAGGATTGAGCACGACACCGCTGCACACAGTCGGGCACAACAACAGAGTGGGCATTTAGAGAAGGTGGGACTAAAGGGGAAAACAAGTGCTGTTAAACAGAAAATGACAACACATGGCACCGCTCGGGGGGCGTCACACAATGCAGGTACTGTAGGACGCAGCGGCACACACAGTCCAGTCCAAACACACACACACACACACACACACACACACACACACACTGAAAGAAGACTGAACAACAACAGCTCACACTGAAGAATGACATGCAAAACAAACACACACATGCTCGAGTCAACTCAAAGTATACATGACAGGTTAACAACAACACTAAAATCAAGTAGGGATCGTTTCACAGTTCAACTAAATACTGATGTGAATAAATCAGTTTAGTCATCCTGAGCCACTTTATGCATTCATATCAGAAAATAATATACAATTCTGACATTTTATAGGTAAAGGTGTGTGAGCATGAGGCTGGTGTTATTCTATATTTTTCATTTTGTCAACAGATCCCACGAAAAGACAGAAAACAGCAATGTGTTAGCAATACTTTCTGCCTGTGGCACTCAGCCGCAAGCCCTTTGGTTTCATACTAAGGATATCAATCGAAATGACGAATGTATGGTTTTGTTTTGTAAAGGGGCTAAATCATCTAAAACAGCTGGGCACTTCACATTGTAGATGTAGCGAACACTACTCAGGAAGGATTAAGTAGTGCCTCTGTTGGGGGATATGTTCAGCTGTATGTGGGATTAATGTAAAGTAAACAACAACGTCCATGTTCATTGTAATGCACGAACATGTCACACAGTGCACATCTGCCTGGCGTGTTTTTAATAGTTTAACAATGGAACTCTATGGCACAGATGAATAAGATATATCAGGCTTTGGATACCAAAGCGATACTGGTCAGGGGAATCAGTTCATTGTTGCTTTTTGTCTTCTCATGGGATTTGTTGACAACAAGAAAAACACAGTCTTATCCTTTCAGTGTAGATCAGTGTAAAATGAGCTTTAAAGCAAGCTGTAGTACAGTATGGGTGAACGCATTCTTCAAACTGCCTTCATGCACACATTATCCCCCTGTTGGCTCCCTTCAGAGGAATCAAACCATTATTAAAATCCTATTTCTAGTAACAGAAACACAATACAGGTTGTTTGTGAATGTACATATTTGTGTGTATGTGGTGGTGTATTATTTCCCCAAGAAATGTTTCAAGGCAAGATAAAAAAAAAAAGGGCCTCTGAAACATAATTTCCTGGGACTCTGCATTAAAACCAATATTAATCGATTTATTTACACTTAGATCTTCCAGGGTGACGTATTCAATAACTGTGTGTGTGTGCATGTGTGTGTGTGTGTGTGTGCATGCATGTGCATGCATGTGTTGGTCTTCAAATGAAACATGCTGGCTGATTCAACACAACGTGGGTTGTGGGCAGCGTCTCCTCTGCTTCAGCTAAGTGATGTTGATGCTGAGAGCGAGCATCCTAATGGTAATGCATATTGATTAGGTTCTGATTCATCAGGCCTATTAACCGTGATGAGGCATTGGCCGAGGGGAACACACACACACACACACACACACACACACACACACACACACACAGACAAACAACGGCCTCCTGCGCTGCTCCAGCACATTTATACATCTGGACTGACAAACTGAATATCATTCATTCCAGACATGAACCCCTGACAACACTGCCTGCTGAGGCTGAAGGAGCTGCATCAGAAGGTCAACTATTTTAACCTATCTTCCTCTGCCATTTTCCAAACTGTGCAGAGCTTCAATAAGTCTGATAAGAAGGTTACTTTCAGTCGGACTAACCTCTGACTTCCTAAGAGGTTTGCAGTTATTGTGTCTCGGCAATATTCAAAGAAGCATTTCAGACTACATTTGCACAAAAGAAAACAAGTGAACATTCTGCCATACAAGTTGAAAGAGCATTATTATGGGGTTTTGGTTTTAATTGATGCAACAATGAGGAGTGGCAGGAAGAACAGGTAGTAGATAGATAAAATGACAAGGAAACACATAATGCCACCAGACAACCATCTGTCCAACAAAGAGCATCACAGCGTGACGGCTTTAATGCAGCAACATGAATGTGAAAACAGCAACGTAAACAACAGAGGGAGGTACACTGTCTTTGTATATGAGAGAAAATGAGAAACTGTGTGTGTGTGTGTGTGTGTGTGTGCATGCACGTGTTTGTCACAGCCGTTATAAATGTAGCTAATTTCCGAGGGCTGTGTGCCTCCACTAGGTCGTCATCTTTCATCTGAATGGACTCGTACTGGCAGAGAGAGTGTTGCTGCGTAGGCACTGCGAGTGTGTATGAGTGTGTGCAATACAGCAGTTCTAGATTTCTGATATGTACAGAACGCTCTCTGTCTGTGCACACCTTCCTACTCACTCGTATGTGCATTTTCGTGTGTACGTACCTGTGTGTCTCTGTATGTTTGTGGGAATGTTCAATGCGACAGACTCAGCAGAACTGCGGCTGTGCAAGCGGGTAAATAACCCCCACAGGGAGGCCCGCCGAGGCGCACACGGCAACTGGACCACCCTGCTGCGGACAATAACACTAACCCCACACACACAATACACACTTTTCTGCTGATCTGTTGGATTTGGGTTGTACAGACTTGTACAGTAATGTTCTGAGGCTACTGATTTCGCCTGATGAATGCAATAAAAGAATAATAACCAATACGATTAAATAATGCGAATGAGTATCTTGAGCTGTTAGGATTTGACATTTGTAACAAAAGAAACGTGCTCAAACGTGTCCGAAAGTGTTAGTTTGACCACTAAACCAATACCAGCAAGGCAAACAAGTCATCTGAAGAGGGCTCTCATTCCAAAGACATGTGCAGTTAATTCACCTAGCATATGACCGGGTTGTCTTTCTGTTAGTGAAGTGTCTACTCCGTGGCTGTGTCCCAAATTCCTCCTTTTCCTACTTCAGTGATATTAATGTCTAAACTGACAGGTGTGGTGAACGACGTTTACATTTTTTTCAACCCTATTTCCCGATGTTTTGTGTCTAATTGGGGCAAACATTGGTCTAGTATTGAAGGAGAACGCTGCGGATGGCAGCCGCTAAAAAGGCAGTAATGTAATCACTCGTGGCAAACAAACACTTTTAGTGGACGTAAATGGACGGTGAGGAGTTGCCCCAAGCGATTACATTACAGCCCGTTTAGCGGCTTCCGTATGCAGCATTCTCCTTCGACACAACAAACATATTGTTGTCCCCATTAGTCCCTTAGACACAAAAACATAGGAAAAATAGGGTCCAGGTTGAAAAATTCCCAAATTACCATGTAGCATTACCATGTACCTTAAAAGCATTTAACCGTCACTGAATAAATTTGGAATTTGGATCGGCCATTTCTTTTCAGGTTAGGCTGAGACTAGACATACATAAATAATTGAATGAATACATAAATAAATATGCAAACCATAACCAGCAATGCAATTCAAAGCAGCTGAGCTTTGCATTTATTTTTGTGAAACTGCAATGGTGGTTGATGCATTGACTTGCAGCTTGCAGTATGTATTTGCTACAACTGTCTCTTCTACAACAGAATAAAGATACAGCTAATGAGAACTATGTTTTACTCTGAGTGCCAACCGGTTTACCTTCAGTTTAAATAGCATGTACGGCAATGCTGCGTTCATGTCATGACGTGAAGTCGTAAACATGGAAATACCCTCGATCCCATCGGACGTGAACACGGCATAAAGCCAGCTGTTAAGTTTAAAACTCTGTACCCTGTTTTATAATTGAGCAAAGATGCACTGTAGAACTAGTCAGATATCTAGTCAGAATTCTAAGGCTAGGATAAAAACTACAACATTCAATGGGGCCTCAAATTTTGTCCAACAATTTTCTCTTTTTTCGGATAAGACGCTTTGTCTCCTGTCACAAGAGTAGAACTGGGATGCAGTCAGGGGCTTGTTAGTTGTTAGGTTGGAGGTGGGGTGCTCACTCGTCCACAGCAAACCAGAGGGAGAGTGGATAGAGGGGAGAGAGTGAGGGAGGGCTGCAGGCTGCCGTGTGGGGAGCAGACACTCTGGTGGAGGGGGGGAAGAAGGGAGAAGGTCTTACCTCTGGGGCAGTGAGGAAGGGAGGAGGGGTTTCAGAGAGGACTCTTATGAGGCCATTGGGACACACAAGATAAGGCATTTCCAGCTGCACAGAGTTAGACAGAGTTAGACCAGGATTCAGAAAAAAAAAAGGTTCAGAGAAGATCCTGAAGCAGTATTTCAACTTTTTTTTTACCGAGACACAATTCGGGGGAAATAACACTATCCTATTAACCACTGAGACATTGCAACATATCACACGCATGTTGGGTGTCTTCACGTGGCTTAAAATAGCAGATATTTTCACATAATGTTTTAGTGTGAAAGCTGTTTTTATTAACATCAAAATGATATCCAAGCTGTAACTGGTAAAAGCAAACAGAGTTTTCTGTCTTTCTCCATTTTGCTTTTTACTTTTAATGCAAGTCAGTCTTATTGTATAGGGGAGCTATACTGCACATGTCTGTTATCTTCATGTTAACTTCATCCAATGCCTCACTTTCCTCAGCTGCTCTTGCACCTGCAATGACTGAAACAGTTGCACTAGCTTGCAACAAGCTACAGGGAGACAATTGAGTGTGCTATTAGCACACTGGCTGAAAAGGTCCCGTCCTAAAGTGTGCAAACACAGCATCCTGTCCACTTTCTTAGCTGCATCATCTGGCCCGTTGCACCATCTTAATCTAATTTCACAGAGATCCAGTTTGGAGTAACATCTTTTTCATACCTGCCTGTGGTGCAGGCCCTTTAGCATGTATGCAGCAGGCATATCCTGCCATTGATTGTGCTTGATTTAAACTTAATTTGATCTTGAACTGCTGTCATTGTTCTGCAGACGGCTGATCAATGAAGGAGAAGATACCAAAAGTTAATTTAGTGGATACATTTCTTTGCTTTCATTGAAATTGCTGCTTTAATGAGGTGTTGCATATAATCTAAATATTGTTACACCAACCCTCATGTGTAGAAAAGGTGCTGTTAAAGCAAGTCAAAAAAATCTTTAATTAGAGAGCTTCTCTCTGGTCAGGGCTGCCTGCTACATGATGTAACTGTAGTTGTAATTGTGGACTAGGCAGCTGAAATAATTAACAAGCATATTCTGTTGCTGGAGGATAATGACATTTGTAAACATGGCTTTTTACCCAAAGATGTGCAAAGTATGCTATGCTTTACTAATGACAGTTTAGGCCACCGCTGCCAAAGCATCACGGTAAAAAGGTCAATCAATTTCTCTGTTTATTTGCTAAAGTGTCTGAGTAATACAGAATCTGCACATTCAGCTCCAACACTCTGAAGAGTCTGATTGGAAGTCATTCTTTTTTGTGTTTTTTTTTTGGTGTTATCTTCTTCTAATCCAAATATCTTTAAAGAGGTGAATTGTGCCTAGCGACACATACAAAAAAAGCCCTGTGTGTGTGTGTGTGTGTGTGTGTGTGTGTGTGTGTGTGTGTGTGTGCATGCGTGCGTGTGTGTGTTGACAGTGGGAGCAGCTGCTGTGGCCCGTAGCATCAGGGCACTGTACACTGTGTCAGTCTCGGTCCATCTCTGCGTCTCAGCGCTCCGAGCGAGCCGTCTCAAGTCTCATGAATGGACCTGAGAGCAGTTGCCGTGGCAACCGCAGCAAGTGAAGGGGGGGTGAGGAAGCAGTGAAGATGGAGACATGACCCTCTTTGCTTACTGCTACTATATGTATCTTTGGAATAAGGATGTACAGTATATAGCTCTTGAAACACTTGAGCACAGTGAGTGTTTCATGTGTCTTCAGAGTTGCTCTGGTGTGTCGGGAAATTTAAAACAGAAATATACTGAATATATACTGAATATATACTGAATATATACTGGACATAAAGGAAATTGCTGATGCTTACATAACAGCACACTCCGCTATGTTATCCTATGATTGCTACTCGCTGATACATTCCTCACGTCAGACTTTGGTCCTTGTCAGCTACCTTGTAGCATCTTCACTTAATCGTGTACCGAGATACTGACTTTTCTGTTGCACCTGTTTCTTGAAACTTTCATACGAGTGTGCAGATGGACATCTTGTACGACTCAAATGAGTATATAGATTTTCTCTGAGCTGTCGTCATCAAATAATGATGTAAACACAAATTCTGGTGTTGTCTGGTTTGACGCTGTAAATTACATTAGCATTGCAAATTGAATTCCTTGTTGTCATTAAAAACTTCGACATTTTGCAGTTTAATTAGGGTCGGTCACCTGTGATAACGTTGGGAAAACTTTTTATACTGACTCGACAATTCATTTCAGCCTGATGGCCAAATAGTGTCCAAATAGAAATAAAGGCTAAAAATAAAAAAAATGACATGGGTAGGAGAGGACGAGGGCGTCTCCACAGGGGATCCAGTCGCTAGAGACAAACCACACTGATCTCAAAGAGAAGCAGAGATGCTTTCGTTCTCTCTTTTCTCCTCAGTCCCTGGGACTTTCCTCTCTCTGTCTCCCTCCGACTGGCTCAGCACATAGTCTATTGCTAATCCACCGAGGGTGAGGCTAACACAGGAGCTAATGAGATAAGAAGACTGTAGGCTTCTTTTCCCTTCCCTCCTGTCCTGTGCTGCTTTCAATTTATCACTGCCTGCTAATCTGTGTGTGCCTGTGTGTAGCGTAGAGTGTGTGAATTTGGTTTTAGACTATTAGGGATATGACTCCGTAATAAAATGGCTGGTGATTGAAAGAGATGAAGTAGGGGCTTAAGCATTTTAACGCTTATTACAGAGATCTATTTTCTGTGATGTATGATACAACAGAGCGCGGACGCATTACATGAAGAACGCTGGTCGGGAACTGGATCTATTTTAGCTTAATAAATCTCTCAAATACTATTTAAAAAATAGGCATTACGCATCTTTACATGTATGTAATGTACTGTTAACACTATGCATTACTCTATCGTGAATGCCCTTTTCGCTCTTTGCCCGCCGAGTCATTCAAATGTGGTCCTTCGACACTCGAGGCTCAAACATTTTGAATTGTGGTCTTTCCTCTGGGATGTAAAAATAAACTTTGACCTGAACCCGTGAACTGTGTCTCTCTGTACAAGAGCTGAAATCAATTACTTTGGTTACTCACTTGAAGGCATCCGAACCCCTTATCCTGCTTCAGTGGATTCAAGGGGCGATGAGTCGTAAAAAAAACGTTTAAAGAGTCGGAAACACAAAGCTAGAGCTCCCTTAAGACACGATCCTGATCTCTGTTTATTAAACATGCCAGGACCTCTTTATTGTCCTTTGATTGTTTATCTTCTGCATAAGAATCCTGGATGCCATGTATGTTCCTATGTAGTGTTGTTTTTTAGGTTAGCCTTTTTGTATTCTTCTCTGCTTCCTTTTCATTTTTAGTTTTTCTTTAATTTGACCAAATAAGGTGAGGGATTTTGTCTTTACTTCCATTCAGTATGTCCATCTTATGGTGGAAGTTTTCTGTGTTTAAAAATTCTTGATAACAAGGCTTGGTGAGAATTCAACATTATCGTTTGTTGACTTTCGGTGGTATCGTATTGTGATGATATGATCATAAGAGTAAAATCTGATTTAAAAACGAGCAGGTTTTCTTTCATATATTTGATGTGTTTTGTCTGGAACACATTTCATCAGTTCATTTTACATGTGAATTTGACACATTGTGATAAATATTGAAATCTAAAAATGTCCAAGTTGTGGGAAAAAGTAAGATGAGCTGGAGAGAAAGAGTGAAGACAGACATGAGGGAGGGAGGAAGTGAGGCAGAGCTGGAACAAAGTGTGTTGGCAGCCAATCTCAGATAGCGTCACGGTGACTGACAGGTGGCGCTGCCTGTCAGGTCCTCGACACTGCAGCTGCATTGGTGGATCATGGTCGATTTAGATCTGTTCAAGCATTTGTTCTGTGCATTTCCATGCCTGAGTGTGTCTGAAAGTGTGCGAGTTAACAATGGCGAAAACTGTCTTTGTGAATGGAATATGTAGTAGTTCAGAAGCAGAGAAGGATTTAGCTGGTATCTGAAATCTTCTGGCGAAATAATAAACTAAGTTTACAAAGAGTAAACATATAATTTACTGCAACAAACACACACACACACACACACACACACACACACACACACACACACTTCATGAACACTGTGACTGAGAGGCACATTGAGATGATGTGGCAGAATGAGCTAAGTGAAGAAGTGTAAGGCTGTGTGTGTCCATATAGCGTTTTTCTCTGGAACTTAATCAACATATCACCACTCTAACTATTGTTGTATGATGGACTAGCATCGCAATGCTTTTTAAAAATCTTTTTGGGTTATTATCTATCTGGGTAAAGCGCTTTTTTCTCAAGGCCGACCAACCTCAACCTTGATCTATCAATGATTTACACGCTCAATTTCCCCCATGTGAGTGTGTGCACATAACTCTCCTTTTCCATCCCTCACCCTTTGAATGGTTGATTCTGCATGCTTTCCATAAAACACACACATATTCTTCTCCACACTGTGTTTGCCCTGATCCTCATTCAGACCATTTATCTACCACGATGGTTACACAAACCAACAAATATGTCCGGGTAATTCCTCTAATCCATCCTGCTCTCTCTGTGAATGTCCTCTAGGCCTTTCCATGGGGTCTGTGTAACTGCCATGTGTGGTGAAGAGGGAAATGAACATGGCTTTACAAGCTGAGCCCACCCGGGGCTTTAATTGGAATGAAATCATTGGAATGAGCTTCAGCTACAAGCGGTCACATAAACCTAACCCTAAGAAGAAGAAAAAAGTCTGACAATTCAAAAAATCATGTATGTTTATTACTCTAACTGTAATGAATGCTGAAACAGAAAATAACAGCAAATAAATTCCCTTCATTTCTCTGAGTCAATTCCCACAATCATTAAAAACCTCATCACCAACAAATTATATTCTCTTCATTCACGCGAACCCTCACTCCCCTTATTCCTCATTGAAATGTGACTATAATAAGCTTTGATCGACACTTTTGATTGCACGCCCTGCTTCCCACGCATGGAAATGCAAGCTGGGACTGATTAGTGCCCCTGATGCTCAGAGTTAGAAACCCCTCATTTGTGAGGAGGGGGTCAAAGCTGTGCATTTGATGTGGGATATGGGCTTTCTCTGCATGTGCAAGAGCCCTTTTATTCAATTAGTGTGTCTGCGTGCATACAAATCCTACTTCAGATAGCATGTGTGTGTGGACAGAGCTCCCACGTGAGGTTACGTGTGTGTGTGTGTGTTTGTATGTGCAGAGGCAGAGCGGTGGCACACAGTGCAGGGGCAAGTTATCAGCAGATGCTCCCATTAATTAGATGTAATCATCGCACAAGTAATAAATAGAAGGGTCGACTGGAGGAAGACTTGATTCATCTACGTGTGGCGGCTAGTTAATGCATTCGACTACAGCCGGGCCTGTGTTTCTATCAGTGAATCACTCTGTCGGTTTATTCAAGCAGGACACATCGATCTGCATCTATGGAGACTACAGGAAGCCTCTTGTGCACTCTCACTTCGTGTCTTCCTACTCGCTAACCTCAGTGCTCATGTGCTCACAGCCCACTGCTCACCACAAACACATCTATCTATTGCAGCAACAAAGAATTGTTGCATGAACAGGAGGTAAAATGTATACTGTGCACTGCTGGGACCCGGTGCTGGTGATTGTTCTGACATACCTTCTGTTTCCGCCTCTCCTTCCTCTTGTCCTCTGTGTCCTGCAGCATCTTCTCTCTCCACAGGTCAAAGAAGTACGACGGGTTGGTGTAGAACTTCAGACCCTCCTTCCCATCGTCCCTGCAGATCGACAAAAGAAACAACCAAGAATCCCATTGCGTTTTGGTTGGCATGCTGGAGTAGTAGTGCTCTTTTATTTTATGAGAAGCTAAATATTGACAACAATCAATTTTAAAGCAACAATTCCAAAGGCTGGAACCACCGGCCTCAGGTTCTCAAAAGTGAATATTTGCTGCCTGTCTTAGTCATACGCAATAAACTGAATATCTGTTGGTTGGACATAACAAATTTGAAGACTTCTTGGCCTGTGAAAAAATACAATGAGCATTTTAAAAATGTAGCTTTATTCCATTTACAGCGACAACTAACTATTAATGTCATCATTGATTCAGTTCTATTCAGCCAATTATCCTCTTGTACAGCAAATGGTAGAAAGAGGCCGTCACGACTTCCCAGAGTTCAAGGTGACTACTTCAAATGTCTTGTTTTGTTCAATCAACAGTCCAAAGCCCCCAAAATATTCCCTTTATAATAATGTCAGACTACTAAATTCTACATTTTAAAATGCAGGAAGAGGACATTTTTGCTTATAATTATTTTTCTTTTCCTGTGTCCTGCCCTTGTCTGTCTCAGTCTGCTTTCCTTCAAGAATTCCTATATTTTTTTACCATTTTCCATGAATTCTCTCTCAACTCTGCTCCGCTCTCTGTCTTCTCCACTCGCATTACAGAAGCCTTTGTGGTTGGTGGTCACTGGGAAGAACAGTGCCATGATGATCGGGAGGGAAACGGAAAAAGACTTCCGACAGACACGGGTAGTTATCGCGACAAAAAGGTCCTCCTTGACGAGGAAATTACCATACACAAAGGTGCTGTCCGGAAATGTCATTTTATATCAATACGGTGATGAGCCTTGTAAATTGTCCTGCTGATGTCTTTCTCTTCTTTCTTGGCTGATTCCAAATGTCTTTCTGCCCGTGTATTTTATTCACCACTGGTCAGTTTGTGAAATATGTGGAAAACCTGTCAAAGACTGCAGCTAGGGAACGTTCTCAATCCACCCCTCAATAACAAACAAGCTTAACCCTTTGCAGCTGCCGAGTCTGTGTTTGACAAATCATCAGCTTTCAGTCTTACAAACTCTGCTGAATAGTAGTGACTTTTTGGGCTTTTTTTTGTCCCTCTCTCCCACAACATTTAGCAGCCCTTCCTGGGGAACCCAGAGGCGTTCGAAGGCCAGATGAGATATATAATCCCACGTGCCCGGAAAACCTCTAACGGGCGGTGCCCAGGAGGCATCCTGATCAGATACCCGAACCACTTCAACTGGCCCCTTTCGATGCAAAGGCGCAGTGGCTTTACTCTGAGCTCCATCAGCATATCTGAGCTCCTCAAAAATGTATTTTTTGCGGAAACACCCAATAGAGCTGCAAAGTGAGAGGAGCTGTTTCTGGCTCCCTGCAAATATGAGTCTAATTTTCATTAACACCACCAGGCGCTCAACAATAACAATAGTAATCTTAGTCACCTCCTTCTCTGTAAAGGTGCTGAAAGGCACATTAAAGGATATTTCACGTTTCCTTTGACACAAAAGGAATATACAAAGATTTTTTTTTGGTGTATCACAACCATTCAGAGGTCCCATCTTGAACTTAGCTGCCTTCACCCAGTGTCGGTCACAGCTCGGGGAGGGAATTATTTGATGATGACACGGATAAGAGCAAGAATACAGAACATGAAAAAGCCTCAAAGGGCATGAGTGGAAAGTTGAATGACATGCAACACAACAAAGATAGAATTTAACAATGGGATAAGGAAAGGGCGGAGGGAGAGCTACTGTAGTGTGTGCACTGCGGGTGGTATTTGAGTGCTTGTGTGAATCATTGTACATGGTATTCATTCTGTGTATATTTGAGGCGTGTGTTTGTGTGCGTCTTTTTTTTTTTTCTTGTGTGTGTGTGTGAGTGATAGAAGGAGAGAGAGCAGAGCAGCTGTGTTCAGAGTAGATCTGAGAAATAACAGCCTGGGGAGGTGTCCCAGGGAGACTCCTGATGTGATGTGTGGAGAGGAGAACCAAATTAGGAGAAGAGAGGAGAGTGGAGATGAACAAAATGAGGAGAGGAATACAAAATGAGGAGAAGAGCAGAGCAGAGAACTCAAAAGGGCGTGTTTTCCTACATTTCTTTGTCTTATATGATAATTAGGTGAAATTAAGCTCTTAGAACTTATGGGTTTTTATGGGTGAAATTATCTTGATTAATCAATAAAATAACCATCAGGTTAATTGATAATGAAAGTTATAGCTAGTGTCAGCCGTAACGTTAATACATAGACACATATATATACCACTCTTTCTCTCGCCGGCACACTAGTAGAGCGACAGTCCTCTATAATAGATACCTCATCTCTATTGGACCATGTGCTCTTGGGCACTCCATCAGTTGTTAGTCAAGGAGAGGTGAGAGCAATTCCAGCCAGAACTGACCTTAAGGATTGTATGGTACCTGTTTTATGTCTAGTTCAACTATCACCATTAATCCTTGTTTGAAAAGAGAAAAAAAAAACCTTGATATGTAGCCTTCAGCCGGCAGGAAATAAGAAATTTCAAATAAGATTTGAAAATAATGTCAGTGAGGCAGACGCCCACACTGGACTTTTGCTTGTCACAGACGTAAAAAGAAAAAATGCACCTACAGCAGATTGAAATACCACAGCCTCCACCTGTCTCCCTACAGTCCACATGTACGTGTCTGTACACACACAAAATAAAAGATTGTGTTTTTCCTGTAACCTTCTTCAACTAGCTTGGTCAGAGTGACAGTATTACACAGGGATGTGTCATGTAAGATGCTGCAGGAGAGAAAATGGAGTGAGAGGGTAAAAAAAAAAAAGCAGGGTGAGAGCAGGGTGAGAAATAAAGGGGGAGGGAGTGCTGGCAAGCCGAGCTTTTTATGGATTATTCATCTTCAGATGACACTCTCTATTGCTCTGCTTGCAACACTCAAGAGCCAAGAAATGTCTGGTGTGAAGGAGTCACAAGCTTGCCAATACGAATATACCTACCAACCAAGGTGCACAAGCAGCTTTCAGTTTTCTCTGTGTGCATCATTGTGTGCACGGTTAATAAAAGCCTTTTGGTGGCAGGCAAAAGTATGATACAAAAGAATAACAAATAACAGCCGACATTCAAGGCCGTTTAGCTGCTTTTGTCTTAACACAGTAGGGTGCAATCAGTCTTTCTTTATGCCTTTCACTAAAATACAAATACATTGTTCCCCAATCTCCACACTGAGGAGAATAGAAACAGACAAATATATGAAAGGTTGTTATAGTTGGTGAAATGCTGGGCTCAGAAAAAGGGCTGCAATTAAACCTTCCAGTTGTAGGTAACGTCAGTGTTTTTCTGAAAGAAGGGAGCAATGTCGCTTCTCCATCTCCTCTATTGTAGTATCATCATTTCACTTGCAAAATGTGCTTTTAAAATGCACATTATAGCTTACTTTTAGCACACCATTCATAAAAAAAACCCCCAAAAAAACATCATTCCCAGAAAACCTTTTGTAAAGTTATTGAAACTGGATTCGGACCTGTAGGGCGAGAGGATGTTGAGCGGTGGCGGCTGCTCGCATGTCTGGTAGGTCTCCTGCAGTGGGACGGGCATTGACTTGCGGTCAAACAGTTGCTGGTCCTGAATGGTGGAACTCCTGAAGGCCTTCCTCATGGTAATGTCCTGAAGAGACACTACGGAAGGAAAGGAAGGATGCAGAACAAAAAAGAGAGAGGGAGAGATGGGAATATCGGTTATTAAATCAGGTTCTTTAAAAAAACATGTGACGCAGGGTTAGGGTTTACCAACTAAGAGACTCTCTGTCTCACTCATGTCTTTGATGAACACAAGCAACCATTTGGCTCCATTCCCTTCATTCCCATTATCATCATCATCAAAACATCATGGAGCACTAAATCTATGAGAAACCACTAATCATCCTCCCTTGGACTAAAGCTGCATTGTTGTCCTAATTGGATAATTCCAGTTCCCCCGACAAAGCAAACCCACACAGCCTCACAACTAAACTAAGCTAAGCCAGGCTAGGCTAGGCTAGGCTAGGCCAGGCTAAGGTCATCTGTCAGAGGCTGTGGGGATGATTGCCCGTCTTTCGTATAGGAACAGCTGACATTTTTCGGAGGGGTGAAAGAATAACTCGATGCTGCACAGCTGAAGCTTTCAGAAAAAAAACAGGTTGGAGAAATTGCCGAGGGGAAGAGGAAAAGCAACCACACTTATGCTAACCCTCAATCTGGTCTGGTCAAGTAGAAAACAGCAAGTCTTGGAAAGAAATCCAGAGCGTTGCAACTGGATCTGAACTATACATGAGGGAATGACAAATGGATACACTTTAATTCTGCCCAGAGGAAGACTGAAAAAAGTCATGTGGCATGTAGAAAAAAATGTTGTATTGTACCACACAAACACACACACAAACACACACACATACACAACAAAACAACAACATAGAATCAAATACTGAACTATTAGCCCGTACATTAAGTTGATCGCCAAACAAGCTGAGTTATCAGGACAGTCATTGAATGCTTGTCTTGATCAAATGAGACAAAGGCATTTTACCGTGCAAAGGACAAACTAACGCAATCTGATCTTCCACATTGCAGCAGTGCATCTGGGTAATTACTTGCACACACTCTCTGTAGTGAAGGGCCAGCTACCTGAGGCACTGAAGTATCATTATTAACAAACACTATCAGTGAGCCGAGGGTCGGTAAGTAACACTCTGGGAGAGAGACAGGAGGCCAGAGAATGGAAGAGGGTGATAACGAAACTGCACGGACACAACAGAGTCAGGGTGATGTAAACAGGGGACAGAGTGAAGAGCCACTAACAGTAAAACAAAGAGCAGGAGCTGACATGCAGGGAAGTATTCCCTAGAAATACAGACTAGCTGATGGCCGGGAAGAATGTGGGAATATAAGAGCGGAGGGAAAGATGATAAAACTAACATGCGGAAAGGAGTGGTGTAGAAGAGAGCAAGAGAGAAAACAAACACGCATTAAAACACAAAGCATGACCTCTGTGAGAAATAACGGAAATTCATGAGCGAGGTGTCCCTAAGAGAGGTGCAGTAACCTAAAAAATGTAGGAAAACTGGTAATTAACATCTCGTTTCATGGGAAAACTGAACGCACAACTTTGGAAAATATAAGTCAATGTTAAAACATGAAGTTAGTGTGTGGACTGAAATGGATGTTTGGGCAATAATTTAACTGTTAACCTTCTATTTCAAATGGGTTTGGTTAACCTGCATGTTTGTTTTGGTGATGATGCAGCATTTCCAGATCTCAGATATCAACTTGGTGAGTAAAATCTTGTTATTAGTGACAGGGAGGACGCCCTAAAACTATGCAAAATCAGACCCAAGTTGTAATAAACTACCCTTTAAGAACTCGTGCTTGTATCAGTGAGTGCAACGGAATAAACTTCAATTCCTAGATCAGCGAAATAAGAGGTGACTAATGATAAGAAAGGGAAAAAAATCAAAGCCACAGTGGCATGACAATTACTGCACACTGCCCAAAGCGATCACAGAGGAGAGAAATGCCAGGTGCAGGGATAAGTGGGAGTAATGGGGAGATCTCAGAATTTGGAGTAGATTAGAGAGGGTAAGGGATAAAGATGTGGAAAAGGAGATATGAACATTAAAGTGATGCTTTAGTGATCCCTGTAGGGCATTTCCTTGCCTCCTTTCCACTGGAAGGTCAGAGTGAAGGTAAGGAACAACATTCTCCCACTCACTGCTTACAAAATTACAGAGTAAATCCACATAGTAGCCAAGAAGTATAGTCATTGGCCAACCGGTGAGTGTCAATCTGGTGTGGATGAGTGCTGCATGCTAAGCAAGAACGCCATATCCCGCAGCCCCAATGCATTTAGGGAGAGCAGAGCGCTGTCGGGTGGTGTGACCAAAATGTGCAAAGGGAACAAACAAGAGAGAGACAGTGCAGAAGTGTGTGTCAGGACGCATCTGATGCAGACTGAGGCTATAAACCTCTGCCAAGCAACACTGAGCACTGAGAGAGGCACACTGCACTAATCAATGTGGGCAGAAACAAATAAAGCACACACACACACACACACACACACACACACACACACAGATGGATATCTTAGCATGATGTTCTACATCCTAATTACAAAATGTCACTTATTCAGCTGAACTACCAATTACACCAATTTAGTGAAGACATTCAGCTAATGAGAAAAATGTAAGTGAGCTTTGAGTGAGAGAGTTAGTGGGAGGTTCTAAATGTGTGTGTGTGTGTGTGTGTGTGTGTGTGTGTGTGTGTGTGTGTGT